GTTTCCCTGCCATAAAATGGCAATGCCCTCCCTATGGGGCTGTTGGTGAGGATTCAGTGAAACAATATACGTAATGATGGTAAGAGCTACTGTGTGTGGACCGACCACTCCGTATCAGCCACTATGCAACGCACTATATGTCACATAACGCGTGCGCCCGCGCCTACGACTTCTCATTCCCACACAAAGTGCCGACTCTGGTACCTGGCTCACTGTATGCGCTAATATTATTTCCCTCCCTTCCGACCCCCCACCCCATCCCCTCCCTGTCCCTGCAAATAGGGAGGAAAACAGAGCCTCACTTGGGAAAGGGAGCTTCCAGTCTCCCATCCAAGTACTAACCAGGCCCGACCCTGCTTAGCTTCTGAGATCAGACAAGATCGGGCGCGTTCAGGGTGGTATGGCCGTAGACAAAAGGGAGCCTCCGGTCAGAGAGAAGGGAACAGGTTATGGCAGGGGGGCCGCTGGAGCAGGTCTCATATTTCAGTTTGGTGCCATCTAAGGTGGGACTGGCCTTGCCCCCCTCCTTCGAAATCTTGCCTCCTTCACCCGTCACGTCCCCAATGGCAGTGATGCTCACACTCCAAGCAAAGCATCTCCGAATGCTACCAACACGCTCCTGAGCAGAGGCGCTGGTAAAGAGGACAAGCCAGGGCAGGGCACCAGAGTCTGCTCTACCGAGCAGCCCGCCCTTGCAGCCTGGAGGCCAGAGTTGAGTGCAGCCCTTATTATTCCAGGCAGGTCGAGCTGCGGTGATGAGCCAGCCTGATTCCCTAGCCCCTGGCCCCTCCTCTTTCCTTTCTCCTGTTTCCATTCATACTTCATTTCCCATGCACCGTGCCAGATTCAATAGGAGCCTTTGGCAGGGGAGATTCAGGGGGTGGCTTCCTTCCAGATCCTCAAAAGACCCTACTCGATCCCCTACACGGGAGCTACCCTTTCTCCTTGTAGTCTGGGGATGGATCTCTTCCTTAGTGCTGGGAAGGTTTCCAGGAGAAAGGGATTCCTTGGACAAAATTGGAGGAAACAGAGTGTCTGACTATTGTTTATGGTTTGATGGCTTAGGGCATGAGGTTCTTGTCTCTGGCAGCTCCCTGTTTTGGAACTTGCTAGCAAACCTCGCTGCAGCCTGAGTTATCAGGAAGTGTGGGGTGGTTTGCTTCTCAGGTGTGTATGGGAGTGGGGGAGGGTCTGTTTCAGCCCCTGTAATGTAATATAGTTGATTCTGAGCGAGAAAGAACAGGAGGAAGAGTCAGCATTTCCTCTAAGTAGAAATAGGTATTTTCTGTACTCCAGAGACACTGCATTTTAAAGGACCTCTTAGATGTTTGTCAGAAAATGAGGAGGTCCAGACTCGAGGGAAGGAGTAAAGTGTCACAAAAAGAGCGCCAGACAGCCAAGGACGCTGACTTGCCAAAGACTAAATCGCTTCTTCTCTCGTTAGACCTCGGTGTCTTCATCTGGGGGGGGGGTCCCCAGCTGTCCTCCCTAGAACTGATATATGACAGTGCTTTCACACGTCATTACAAATTGTAGAACAGATGTCACAGGACTTTAGGAAGAAAAACATTGAAATGATTCAGCGATCATGTAAAGTAATACGATTTCTTGCCCCTGAAGGAAGCGATGGGAGGGTTTGCTCTTCCATCCTATCGTCCTTTAAGCTGGCACAATGCTAGAAACTGGGAGTGAGAACATACCTTACCCAGAATGCCCCGAGCTGAATGACTAATTCTGACCTGACAAGAGGTGGTACCTCCCAGGCGTCTGAGCGTTGCGTCTGAAGCTAAGGCTGAGGCTGAGGCGGTGTGAGCACTTACAGATTATTCTTTGCCAGTTGCCTAATAAGGATAGGGGCTAGGCAGGCTTGGCAATTGCAGAGAGCTCACATTCTAAGAGCTCAGAGAGAAGTATGGGTGCCTGCGACGCCTCCGAATTTCAGAAGAACTTTCATAGAGATCCCACCTTAACCTGGGCCCCCAGCTGACACAGCCCACTTTAGACTCTGTACCAGCCGCTTAGTGCTTACCCTCCTCTGTATGTGTCTCTAGAACAAACCTGAAGCAGACACACTTCATTCATTTCCACACGTCCCCTATGTTCTAATCTTAAGTGTCCTTTTCTCTTTGATTGCCCAAGTGACTGAAAAATTTCTCCTCTTTGATATCTTGAGGAGAGGTTCAAAGTAAGGAATTCTGACTCAGACTGTCCCTTCTTCTTTTCTAGAAATCTGAGTTTGCCTAGCCTAGTGGTATTGCCAATGGTTATAACCTAGCTAATGGTTATTGCTAATGAAGGTGCCTTGGAATTTTCCATTCTTTTCGAGGGTTGGGAGTTCCCTCCAGCAAGGAAAGATGGAGGGACACATGGAGCTTATTGGCCTTCTGCTTAAAGGGCTAGTTACCAAAAGTTCATTAAGATCAAAGTAAGCCTTCTCCCATCACTTGAGAGCAGACATGCTGGACACTGGGCATCTTTCATCTAAGACTTCCAAGCACTATTTCTATCTCTCATTCCTGTCCTTCATCACTTTCTGAGGATGGTGTGAAGAGGTAGGGCTGATTTTTTCCCCCCAGGTAAAGGCAGGAGGAACTAAGCCCTAAGAAGGACAAGTGACTTGCCCAAAGGGTACCTGGGAAGATGGTAAATCTGGTTCTGAATCTGCTACCAATTATTCAACAACAACAACAAATTAGCTGGATGCCCACTGTATGCGGGCTCTCTTCAGGCACCGGGGATAAAGCAGTGAACGAGACAAGTGCAGACCTTTGCCCTCAAGGAACACAGAAAAAAAATAAAGAGAAAAAAAGTAAAATCTGATTTCCAGTTTAGCACTCCATCAGCACGGTTCTCAACATCCTCTTGAAAGGTTAAGGAGTTCTACTTACGGGTCAAGATGGGCTTCTTACTGCTACAGCCCTTCCCACTGCTTCCAGGCTTAGGCGGGAAGCTGAACTGGAGGGACGGTCTGGGGTACCCCACCGATCCGCGTGCCAGTCGGGATGAAGGGAGTTTGATGTACTGCTTCAGGTTCCTTCCCGACCTCTACTCCCCAGGCTCCTGGACGACATCAAAAAAGAAAGGCAGTATATCTGAAAAGCAATAGCAACAACAGAACAAAACCCTGCTTGCTTAACCCTCTGTAGGTCAGAGTCACTCTAAAAATCTCTGGTAAAAGAAGGCAGGGGTTGCACTAGTGGGGAGGCAGAAGCGTAACCTCCTCCATCCCCTGGGACCTACCGGAAAGAGGATGGATGGGAATCAGCAGGAACTTTGGCCACATGTGCTTTTTGGAAAAGTACCTGGTAAAAGAGTCAAGCCTTTATCTGATGGTTCTTGTGCTGCTTTGTTCACCTTCTAGAAGGGAGGCTGTCATCTATGTGTTAGAGAGGGGCTGTCCAGAGCTCCTTGCCACCCCCTGGTAACTGAACTCAAGTCAATGGGGACTGTTTAACCAGGGCTGGGCCCCCAGGTTCTGGTGCTACATTCAGAAAGAGCCCCTTAGGGATGCCTGGGTGGCTCAGTTGGTTAAGCGTCTGCCTTCAGCTCAGGTCATGATCCCAGGGTCCTGGGATCGAGTCCCGCATCGGGCTCCTTGTTTGGTGGGGAGCCTGTCTCTTCCTCTTCCTGCTTCTCCCTCTGCCTGCCATTCCCCTGCTTGCACTCTCGCTCTCTCTGACAAATAAATGGATAAAATCTTTAAAAAAAAAAGAAGAAGAAGAAAAGAAAATACCCCTTCACATTTTTTGAGCCCCTTCACAATTAAATGATCTGGGGGCGCCTGGGTGACTCAGTCGTTTAGGCGTCTGACTCTTGATTTTGGCTCGTGTCATGGTCTCAGGGTCATGGGATCAAGCTCTGTATCAGGCTCCACGCTGAGTGCAGGGTCTGCTTAAGATTCTCTCTCCTTCTGCCCCTCCCCCCCCAATAAATATACAAACAAATAAGTGGCTGATGTGTGGCAGTGGGTCCCACACGACAGGCAGGAGCTGCACTCTAAAGCTAAACAGGACAAGGATGAGCCTTTCCACCTTCAGCCCTTTATATCCTCACCTGCACATAGCTCTGCCCCTCCCCCAGTCAGGGGGAGCACCTGTCTCTCTGAGGAGAGAAATGCTGATCTGAGACCCTCTGGTGCTCACTCCCACACGGGCTAACGCTGCTCTCCCACTGACCTTGCCGTGGCCCTGGGCTCTATCTGAATTGATTGCTGTCTTATCCCTGCCAGCCCAGTAACTTTAACACTCATATTTAACTTTAAACTCTCTTCCTTCTCCTCAAAGGTCCTTCTGTCCCCTTTATGTAAAAAGGCTCCAACCTGTATGGCCGGCTGCCAGAGCATTTTACTCTCCCCTTTTGGAGAGAGGGAAAGCTTTTTGGAGGGGTGGGCTTAGCTCCAAGACCTGAACCTAGTACCTGACCTGCTGACAGCAGCTGCGGGCTGCAGGATTTCCGTCCGGCTGGAGGCTGAATATTCTGAGGGGCCCCCGAGGACGCAGGCATCGCCTACCAGGTTGGCCTCCTGGCATGTAACTGTATGTGTTGGGTGCAGGATGTGCGGGTGACAGCCTGGCAGACCACCCTCCAGATCACTCTGGTCTGGACTCCTCTTCTGACCTCTTCTCCCCAGTTAGAGGCAAGGTCAGACGAAAGGATTTCGTGGTGGGGCCCTCAAATGAATAGACAAGGAGAGCATGAGAGCCGTTAGTTTCTGAAGAAGCCGGATCCGTGTCACTTGGCTTGAGAGCGGTGTGTTGGCAGGACGGGGGTGTATCTGAAATTACTTCTCTACATGGAAGTTTGCAGGCTGCTGGGGCCTCCTAGGGAGGAACGGGCCCCTCCTGAGTCCATCCGCTCAGCCCAGGCCTCAGCGATCGGTTTGGCTCAGGCATCAACTGTCACCTAAACCCTTGTGCTAGAATGAGTCCCTCTTGCCCTCGCAGATGCCAGATCCTCATGGCCGCTCTAATTGTTTTTGTCTGTTTGAATCTTTATTCCAGAGATCCAGTTGTCAGCGGTATCCAGGGAGCCCTCCTCTTCCTCCTCCTTCTCCTGCCGCCTCTCTACCATCGCAGTTGCTGGTTGTTGCTAAGGTGGCCTCCATGGTAACATGCACATCCTGTTTACACCTCTATCTGGGCAAGTTGGTCTAAGCTAGGAACCTACCTACGCTGGACAAGCACTTCCATCACTACCTGGGGACAGCAATCGGCGTGACACGTGGTCTGGCTTCCACTCAGTTCCCCCATCCTCTTCCTCCTCTCGCCGCCAAGCTTCACACACAAAAAAGGATCTGGGCTAGAGGCTGCTCCTCCAAAGCCTATTGCACAGGATCTAGTCCATCTATTTCCTAACTGGGCTCCCAGAGAAGCAAGAAGTAAGAAGAAGTGAGGCAGAAAGGCAGGCGTCCCTCATCAGTTAAAGGGAAACTCCGCATTTTCTCTGGTCGAGGGGCTTGGTAACAGCAGACAAAATGACGAACCCAACAGAACATGCCTTGCCGGCCACGGCCAACTCGATGGTCGAGAGCCATGAAGGGGACTTTGGCTGCACAGTAATGGACCTGAGGAAGCTCATGGAGCTGCGTTCCTCTGATGGAATCGACCAGATCAATGTCCACTATGGAGGTGTAATGAATCTCTGCAGTAGACTGAAAACCGACCCTGTGGAAGGTAAAGGCCGGACCAGGGGCGGGGAACCAGAGCAAGGTGGCTAGTGTTCAAAACTGTTGCTCCCCTAGCTCCTGGAGAACGCAGTGGGAGACCTCCCTGGTATATCTGTGTCTTTTGAGAAAAATGTGGTCTCTGAAGCACCGAAAGGGGGTGAGGCCATGGAGAGCCATTTCATTCCTGGAGATGGTGTTCTCCGAAGATCATGCTTTCTTCCTTTTTCTGTTATCAATGTGCAGAAAGGAGACAGTTTACCTCTGTTTTACAAATGTTTATGTTAGAGATGCTTTTATCAGCAAACAGTCAAGTCTCTGATTCAGGATCGGTCTCTGATTACAAAAGAATTTAAGATACAGTTCTGCTCCACACTGATCTTACAGTGTAACTGGGGAGAAGGGGCACCAAAAAAAATGAATGAGTCCATCTACCCAATGTGGCATTTCTCTATCGTGGACAGTTAGAAATAGGGTGCAAAATCATTGGGTATATAGAAGTACCTACCAAAGCTTTGGATTATTCACTTTGTTTCATGTCAGGGAGTTATTGGTGACTTTCAAACCCGCCTGGTGCTGTGGATTTGGATCGAGCAGAATGTTGGTGTGAATTTCTATTTCATGTTCCCTCTGTACCCTGCGACTTCTCCTCTGCAGAGCTGAGGGTGTGACAGGGATACAGAGGGTTTTCTGTTCCTTTTCAGCTACATTCAGGTGCTGGGGACCCCAGGGTGGATATGGCAGGCACAGTCCCTCCTTCCCTAGAGCTGACAAGAGGATACACAGAAACTAAGGCAATTTCAGAAATATTGTCACAGTGCTGTGATGGGGAAGGGCTGGGTGTGATGGAAGCAGCCAGGACAGGGACCTAAGCTGAAGGGACTGCAGGGGAGGGGAAGGGGCTTAGAAGGTGAATAGGGACTCCTGTACATCTGATTGTCTGGGACGGCTCTGTCCTGACCACGCTCTGTGGTAATTGCTACCACTCACTGAATGTTCCTGATGTAAGATGCAAGTATGTGTGCCTTACAACCTTACTGAGCAGCTGCTAGGTTTGGGGAGCTGAGATTCTTTGGAGGAGGGAAAAGCAGGAAGGGAAAAAGTCTGTTTTAAGACCACCCAGCCCGAATTACGACTCTGGCTCATTAACTGCAGGATTTAGGGTACTATTTCCTGCCGCCCTAAGATCTCTTGCATTCCTGTTCCCAAGCCTTGGGTCAGTGGCGTGTTCTACTGAGCACTGTCCATTTTTCTACAAGCTGGGACATGCAGGGATGGGCTCTTCCTCCATGTGGTAGATTGAAATTCCCAGTAGCATTTTCAATCTGGAAAAAAATTGAACACATAGCCCCAGTGATAAACAATAAATGCTTACCCTCAGCACTACTGTATTACTATTAGTACTTCCAATGCTAGTATTATTTACATAATAAGATAGCCAAGAAATTGAAGTGGATGAAGTAATATAAAAAGTTCTGGTATTTCTCCCACACTCCAGCAGATGGATGCGCCCTACTCAGAGACCACTGCTTTAGAGAATTCTAGTGTTGGAGGGGAGTAAAGAACCAAGCGAGCGAATATGGGATGGGAGGGATGGGAGAGGAAGATGGCAACTGGCTTCTCTGACATTTTCTTCCCTGTCTTAGAGCGTATAATGTATTTCAAAATATCTGCATTCAGGAGCACGTCAGTTTCAGAATAGAAGCAGAGCCAAGCTCCTTCTCTTTCCTCCAGCCCTCTGCCCTGTGGCCATCACCTTGAACTCTTGCCCCAACTCTACTAAAGTTGCCAAATAGATGATCCTAAAAACAGTGTATGTGCAGAGGCCAACAGTCCGGGCTACTCTGCCCATCACGCTTGGGGCGGATCTATTAGCACTACTTTAAGATGTGAGAGAGACTCAAGCCAGAAGAATATCTTGGCGGGAAGGGAGAGGGTGGAGGTGGGCAGACCAGCTCAAACAGCCAGAAAGCAGCTATGCTGTGATGTGAGCAGTTGAGGCAAGTCCAGGTAGCTTTATAAAAGAAATACTTAGTACTTTATAGAGGGGTGGGAAAGGCTTCCTACCAAACCCACGAGAAGCAACATCAACAGCTGGAAGGAGGAGGGTAGATGATGGAGAAAGAGGAGAGTGAAAGTGCCCTCCCTCTGTTCCTCCTCCCCCTGCAGGGAATTCCACGTTGCATCCTGGGAGTTCCCTGTCTGATATGAGTTATGTGCCCAGGGCTGAATGAGGCCAACAGCGTGTGACAGCTCTGGGCCTTCTCTTCCCTCTCTTCCCAGCCCAACCCCGGGCTCTGCGAAATCCAGTCCACCCCTCCTTGCCCAGAGCGGGGCTTCTGGGGTTGCTGGCATAGTGCTGCCAGGCAGGGGCCAGAGAAGTCTTGATGGGGATCGGGGATATGTCTTCCTGCCAGGAGCCCTTTGTGCTGCAATCCTTTGGGAGCTCAGCAGAAACTCTTGCTAGTTCTGTGTTGTTTTGAACTTTCTTACTGCCTTGCATCGAACATCAGCTAGGGCTGGGAAGAAGGATAGCACTCCCTCCTTGGCTGAGGCAGATGTTGCGTCTACCCGTGGAAGTAGGGCTTTCGCTCTTTTTATTTAGCTCCGAGGTGTGAGCACCGGAGAGCGTGACACTGGAGGGGTGCACATGCAGGCCATGTGGGAGCAGGTGGCCGGCGGAAGGCTGCGGAGGGCAGACGAGGGAGCTTGCTTTCTCCGCTCCAGCTTCAGAGGCGGCAGAAAGGGCACAGAGCAGAGGGCCAGACAAAGGGAGACATGCTGCCTTCCTGAACCGAGAATGAGGTAGCGGCCATTCTTCCCAAAGTCCAGCATCCTCTTGCGATGACCCCAGGGAGATGGCTTTACCTCTAGGGGCTGGAAGTCCAGCAGACTGAGAGCACATCTCCGAGCTATGGGTGTGGTAAGCTGGAGATGCTGATGTAAGGAAACTGCTCTGCCTCCTCAAGAAGTGGAATTTGGTTAAAGCCTGTGGTCCCTGTGCTGATTTTAAGCTCCTCCTCCCCTTCGCCCCCAAGCCAAGGTGTTTACGGTAGGACCTGAAAGGCATTCTTCCTTTCTTTGGACTTGAAAGGTATTCCGATGTCTGTTCTCATATACCAAAGTGGACTGCCTTCGAATCAACCCAGAGAAACCTCTCCCTTGCATTATCTGTGTGGGAGAAGATTCTGCTGTCTCTTTGGCAAGGTATCATAACTCAGACAGCTAGGAAGTCCCTCATGATGTCTAACCTCGCCCCACCCTTTCTGGGGCTGAGCTGGTTCTCATAGGGGTGCCTCTGCCTACAGTCCTTGGCGTCCCAGGGAGGCGGGCGGCCATGGCCCTTCCCTGCTGGAGCCAGGCCACTGAGGGCTGGGTGCAGGCTCTCCTCCCAAGCCCTGGTTCCCTGCACAGGCTGTCAGCACACACAGATTTTCCACGGCTGCCTCTCCATCTCCAGCCAGCCTGGGAAGGGGCCATGTAACTCCCCAGCATGGGGTGGGAACGATGACTTCACAGCCTGACATTCTTGTCGCCTCTCCCAGCTCATGTGTTCAGTCTGGTGCTTAGGGCCAAAAGTACTCCTGATTTGGGTGGGGCTTTCTCACTCATGTTCTTGGGGACAAAGATTCCTCTCTCTTTTTTTTTTTAATGTATTTCTAAGGGAAATCCTTTTCCTGCGTTTCCAGTATTCTCTCCCTGCCAAGTGTTCCTTCCCCTCTCCGGGAAGCTGTGTGAGTATTTGCGAAGCAACTGCGGAGATCAGGGACTAATACCCTCTCCTTGGTCAGACGAGTACTTCTGTGATATCACAGCTGCAGAGAGCAGGGCCTGAGAGCCTTTGGGGGCAGGAAGAATGGAATGGAAAGCCCAAAATTGGGGATTGGCTGAGCTCCCAGTCCCGCATGGCTTTCCCGTGCCCCCTAACCACAGGTCCAGAGAGGATTCCCAAGGCTACTAGGCTCACAGCCCCCACCGGCCCCTCCCTGCCCCAGGGCACGCTGGGAACTGGGACAGCCACTTGCCCGTCTTAAGGCAGCCACTGCAAGAGCTGAGGGTCGCTTAAAGTGGAGCAGACAGATGAGAGAAAATGGCAAAAGGGAAGTAAGTGTGTGACTCTGAGAGCATCTAGGCCGGAGCAAGGCCTGACCTTTTTTGCTTTCCTTAATGGGTCTTGTTTGGCTTGCTTGGGTCCGAAAAGGCCATCCTGAACCTTTTATTGAGCACCAGATCCATAGGCTGGACTCTGACGGGCCTGGTGTCACCATCTCTGAGGACAGGAAAAAGGTAGGACGAATTTAGCCCAGGTGCGAACAGTGGGAACAGGGTTGATTGGCTTCGAGGCGCAGACAGAAGCGGCACATGGGCTGCCCTGCCCTGAAGGAAGCAGGGTGACCGACCATCTTGTTGGCCTGGGACCGGGGGGGGGGGGGGGGGGAGGGGAGGAGCCTCAGTGCCCAAACCCGGGAAGTCCCAGGCACACCGAGACCGGTTAGTCACCCTACAGTGAAGCCTCAGTGGAGTGCGGCCAATGCCACACCCCGGCCCCCTCGGGTGTAGCCTGGTGTCCCGGTGTTTCCCGGGGAGTGGTGTCGCCTCAGCCGCAGACTAGCCAGGTGGTTACCTAACCTCTCCGGGCCTTAGTCTGTCCCGATGAAGGTTCACAGTAGCTGCTACATAGGGTTTGGCGGTGTCTGAATGAGAAGACACGAGTGTTCCTGCTGAAGCATCTGGCACATAGTAATCGCTTAAATGTTAGCAACCTGATTTATTACTCATTCATTCAGTTCATTCAGCACATTTGTATGCGTACGATGTGCCAGGCCCTGCTGTAGACCTAAGGAACAAAGACAGAAGTCCTGCCCTTGCGGAGGGCGATAGACAAACATCTTAAGTAAATACATCATATAATGTGTTAGGGAGAAGGCCTGTGGAGGGGACCAATGACACAGGACAAGGGGATCGAGAGTCCTGGAGCAGAGAAGCCACCTTATTAAATAGGATGGTCAGGGTTGGCCTCACTGAGAAGGTGATGTGTGTGCAGAGACCCCAAGGACGTAGGAGAATAAGCCCGAGCCAGTGAGGAGCAAGCTGAGCCAAGGGAAGAGCTCGTGCAGGGCCCTGAAATAGAAGCTTATCTAACGCGTTCAGGGAATGGCAGGAAGGCTCGCTGGGCTGGAGCTCAGCGAACAAGGAGCAAACAGTAGGAGTTAAGGGGTGGGAGGGCGGGGGGCTCTTAGGGGGCCTTACAGACCCCTAAGGCTGTAAGGCTTCGGGGCCCAGTTTCACTCCCAGTAAAAGCCAGCAGAGGATTCTGAGTCAGTGAGTGGCAGGGGTGGGGTTTGAAAAAGATCATTCTGTCTACTGTGTTGGGAGGAGACTGGGCACAGGACAGCAAGGGTGGGAGCAAGGTTACCAGTTAGAGGACGGTTGTCATCACCCGGGCGAGAGAGAATGCCAGCTCAGACCAGGACAGTGGCAGTGGAAAGTGAGACGTGAGTGGACCTTGGGTATTCTTTGAAGATAAAGCTGCCAGGATATGCTGGCTGAATGGATAGAGTGAGGAGAGAGAGAGGAAGCGAGGGTGGTCACGGGGTATTAATCTGAGACCAGGGAGGGCAGGATGACCTCAGAAGGGGGCTTTTAGTCAGACCTCTGTCGTCGCTGCTCTTGTTTTGGCCTCCGTTGGGCTTGTGGGATGTCCCTTAAGATGATCTCTATTATCTGCTGTCTGCTTTGCCCTCATAGTCATCTACCCACCTTGTTGCGGGGGGCAGGGGGGATGGCATCTCCTTGCTCCTTCCTTGAGGAACATCCCAGGGAGATGAACAAATGATCAGAACTCCTATTTCCTGCAGGCCAACCTGGCCTCCAGGACAGCAACCCCAAACTGGCACAGCCTCGTGCTCTCAGGTCCTCGGGGAGAAGGACCCAGCCCGGAACCCCCGGCTCCTCTGCCTCTGCCCGCCCGGGGGTCAAGATGCCCTTTCCCAGGCCCTTGCTCTCCCTTCCCACGGGGAACCTGATTTCCCAGAGCGCTGGAGACAGGGAGCCTCTGGGAAGCTGCCCAGTTTGCTTCCAGTTCTTTGGCCAAACCCCCTCCCCCACAGAGCTTGGCTGTGCCACTCAGCCAGAGGCCAGGGTGGTGCATCTGGGCACCAGGAGGCAGGAGGCCCTGGATAAGAACATCAGCCCCGCTCCCCTGCCTGGCTTCCTGTTCTCCCTTTTCGAAGCACTGGCCGGCCAAAGGGGTCTCCCTTCTTCGACTCTGTAAGTGCGGATGCAGGTTCACCCTTCCACACTTTCCCTCCACGCCGGGTCCTCCATCTACCCTCCCAGACAGGTGAGGGTCTTGAGGACCTCCCCTGATGGTTTTGTTTTTTGGGTGGAGAAAGGGAGGCCGTCTCAGACCCTACAAGCAATACCCCCTTGGGGACCCATTTTCCCCATTTTCAAAGTCTTTTTCTGTCCAAATGTCTTCCTTAGGTCTGACCCAAATCTCTCCCTTTGCCGTGTAAGGTACCACCCTCGGGTCCTGTTGAGTGGAGATGGAGAGTAGAGGTGTGCCCGCACGCCACGCCCCGGGCCCCTCCAGTGGAAGAGCCCTCACACGGACCCGAGTGTGAAGAAGTCCTCTGGCCGTAACTGGATCTCCTACTTGGGCAGAAAAGGAGCAGGGGGGTCTTTATTTAAAGGTGTCTTTGGGACCACCTTCTCCCATCATCATTTCTCCCCCTTGTTTTTCTTACCTGCTCCTCCCCCTCGTATCGCCTTTTCAGGTCTGTCTGGGAACCCTGCAGACCTGGAGAAACGTAAGCAAGTGTTTGGACAGAACTTCATCCCCCCCAAAAAGCCCAAGACCTTCTTAGAACTAGTGTGGGAAGCCCTTCAAGATGTCACACTCATCATCCTGGAGATCGCAGCCATCATCTCCCTCGTCCTGTCCTTCTATCGCCCCCCTGGGGAAGAAAATAAACGTGAGTGTCTAGGACAGCCCGGTGTGACTCTGATCCATGTTCTTTCCACCCCCACCAAAAAGCACTAGTATTCGTGGGTGACAGGTTTGTAGCTTAAAAGTTTACCCCACTCTCCAGGGTGGGTTCTCTAAAGAAAACCAACAAGTAGCTAGCCAGCCATTCTTCAGCCCATCCTGATTCCAGGGTCTTCTTCCCCTTCTTCCACCAAATCCTTATGCAAGATATCAGAAGTCCCCTACCCTCACCCATCCACCAAAACCTGCTTCTCAAAGTGCCCACCATCAATTATCTGGCATTATGGGAAATAGCAGTGACCTAGAGCCCGGAGCAGGGGGCCTGGCCTTGTTGGGAATCATAAGTTCTATACATAGGACTGGCCAGTAATTTGCACTGACATGATTTGTGCTACATACTCATTAACTTCTTTTGGGCTAACATAAATACTTATATTGGTGATGACACGATGCCCAACCCAGCTGTCCTCCAGTATCCTCAGAGGATAGCTCCCCTGCCCAAGGGTTGTATTTTCTGTGGTTCTCTTTCCCTGACTTTCCATCCTGGGGGGCTGTGGAAGCACTCCTCCCATTTTTAGTGTTCACCAATGCCCCCAGGTGACCCTTCCATTCTGTCCTTTCCCTGGGCTAGAGTGTGGTCTACCTGTAAGTAGCCCAGAAGATGAAGGAGAGGGGGAAGCCGGCTGGATTGAGGGGGCAGCCATCCTATTCTCTGTGATCATCGTGGTGCTGGTGACTGCCTTCAACGATTGGAGCAAGGAGAAGCAATTCCGGGGGCTGCAGAACCGCATTGAAAAGGAACAGAAGTTCTCCGTGATCCGAAATGGCCACATCATCCAGCTGCCCGTGGCTGAGATCGTGGTGGGTGACATCGCCCAAATCAAATACGGTGAGAGCTCGTGCCTCTTGTACCTATGTCGTCCTCCCTATCTGAAGGCTGGGTCCTTTGGCACAGGGGGCTGGGAATCACTGAGGACCCAGAAGGATAAGACCCCAAATGGCGTTAGCTTCTAGGTTAGTTGAAAGAGGTTGTTGAGAAGGATTCAAAGAAAGAAGAAAGTCTCCCCGAAGAATGTCACACCTGTACCCTGTGTATCTCAGGGTTAAAAATACATAATGTTGAGGCCATGGGAAGGCGTTTGGGGATCATTGTTTGAATTTATAAGGAGTCTTGTCGTCAGAGATGAAGGCGTCTTTCAGAGGTTCTCCAGGTAGCCCCTGGGCTATTGCCCTATAGGTAGGGCCCGTGGGAGCAGCCCTGAGATGGGGTTGGATGGTTCCCACCCTCTGACAAGCTCTTCCCTACCCTCTTTCCCTGTTGTCCCTTCCCCTCTGCACACTAGGTGACCTGCTGCCTGCAGATGGGATCCTGATCCAGGGGAATGATCTCAAGATTGACGAGAGCTCTCTGACTGGGGAATCAGACCATGTCAAGAAGTCCTTGGAAAGAGACCCAATGCTGCTCTCAGGTATGGCGTCTGGTTGCTGCAGGCCTTGCCCTCTATTCTGACCCTGCCCCATCTCCTTCCACTGGGCTCTTTTGGGACAGGAGCATATTAGTGGGCTGAGTACAAGGTTATCAGTCAACCGAAAAGAGGTTCTCTATGAAGCAAGTGCTGTAGGGGCCTTGATAGGGCTCTGCTGGTTAGCGGTGGGAGTGGGGGAAGGAGCTTTACCCTAAAGCAGTTAGACACATTTTTCTCCTTACCCCCCAATTTGTCGGTCTATTTTAAATGGGCCCAGCTCTTGACCTTTTCCTGCTATCTGCTGAGTGTATCATTATCCAAGGGGGAGGAAGGAAGAGGGACTGTTTTTTTCTAAGTTTGTGTTCCACACCAAAGCATGGCTAGGTATAAAAAACAGCACTCCTTCCATCTTTTCCTTTCTCATATAGGGACCCATGTCATGGAAGGTTCTGGCCGGATGGTAGTAACTGCCGTGGGTATCAACTCCCAGACTGGAATCATCTTTACCCTTTTGGGAGCCAGTGAGGGAGAAGAGGAGGAGAAGAAGAAAAAAGGTAAAGGGCATTTGGGATGAGATTGTGTCCCCTCTCATCCCCATGGACAGACTAGGAAGCAAGGGACCAGGTCTGGATGGAATGCCTGGTGGGAAGAATCTGCTGGATGAAGAATGCAGATATCCAAACTTCTTGCGGAGACAAAGATGTTGAGCCTGGCTCCCCAGGGTGCTCTGATGAAAACCAAATCAGGTCGCCTTTGAGCCTCGACTCCTGTGTCTGTTGGTGGGTTATAAAGGCGTGAGATGTAAAGCTTGCCCCAGATGAGCTGGCCAGCTGCTGTGGCCCCAGCAGCCCTCTGTGTAGTCCCCCACCGCTCAAACAGGAGGGAGTAAGTGAACCATCCAGGCGGAGGGAAGACTGCTGAAAGCCTGGGCTGTCAGTGGAAGAGACACGGCTAGGAGAGTGGGAACACAGAGGTGATGTCTACCCCCAGAGTTAGCCCCGTCTTTGCCATTCACTTGCTCCTAAAGGAAGGACAAACAAGGAAGGAAGGTGAACAAGAAAAAGATACTAAAGAGAGATCGCCACCTTACCCTCAGCAGTCCTTCTTTCCTTGGAGAAGAGAAGGATTTCTGTCACTTGGCTGGAGGGCCATCTCAGGCTGTTTCGTGGACGGCAGTTTATCAGGAAACAAAACCCATTCCCTTGGGAACTAGACTAGGTTTTTGCAGCTACCTGCAGATGAGTAAGGAGGGACCCGGCCACAGAGACACCTTTCAGAGCCTTTGCCTTCAGGCAGAACTGGTTCCAACCTCTCACTTTCTAACCCCTACCCCACATTTGCAAGTGATGGGACTCAGCTGAGAGCAGCCTCCCAGCAGCCTCTGTGCTCTGGAAGAAAGCAGCCCAGGTGTGGCTGTGCGCTCACCTGCGGGAGAGGTCTGGTCCACATCCCGGGGAGTCCTGAGGCCCCGAGTAAGCACGGATGTGAGCAGAGACGTGAACTTCCTTTACATTCCCTTCCCTGCCACTCCCCACCTTTTTGCTGTGGCCCTTTTGGGCTCTGAGCAGGACCAACAGATTGGATACCTGATCTCTTAATAGTCACCTTGGGTCTCCACCCCACTTTTTTCTTTCTTGTTTAAACAGGTAAAAAACAAGGAGTCCCTGAAAATCGCAACAAAGGTAACCTCTCCACCCACTCATTTACCATCTCTACCTGCCCACACTCAATCCAGACCTTTCCAGGCCATCTGCCTTCTCCCTTTTCCTCTCCATAAATCTGTTATCTGCTGCTGGGGCCCCCCAATGCCTCATCCTGAGGAAGGTGCAGAGATTTGGGGGTGGTCTCCAGGTCCCGAGCCCCATCTAAGACGGGACAACGGCACCCCCTGCTGTTGTCTCACGGACCCTCCCATCAAGGTTTCTCTTGGGGAGCACGTGGGATTGATCTGCTCTTCCCCGGGGCGCTGAACTCCCTGCTTCACCGCCCTAGGCCCACGGTCATCCGTTTCTGGGCTAGAAGACTTCAGGGTCCCCACGGTGGAGGGAGTCGGGGTGGGCAGTCCCTGCACCCTCCTCTTGCTAGCTTCCTCATCGGTGTCCTCTTCTAGTCTGGATTCCTTCTCTGCTAGTCTTCTTGGGGTGCTTGGACAGAGCCCGTTCTCTGTACCTCTCCCCACTTCCTTCTTTGTTCTCGCCGTCTGTCTTCTTCCTCCCGATCTGGTGTGTGTTTCTTTTTTGGTGACTGTGTTTACATCCCGTCTCTGTCTTTTTTGTGAGTCTGACAACAGAGACAGTATCTCAGGAAGGGCATCCTAAGCAAAAAGGCCGAGGTCCACAGGGGTGAAGCTGGGGGTGCGGGGTGGGAACCAGTGAGAATGGCTCTCTTGAGACAGCTACTGGAGATTTTTTTTCCTTTGTACCCAAGTCATAGTAGTCTTTAGGAATAAAATCATCACATTGGAGAAGCAGGGCTCCACAGAAATAATTCTTTAATTTTAGGTCTCTTTAACTCTTCTTTGGAAAGCAAAATGGATTTATATGTCTGTCTTTATCCCTCTTATTCCAGAGGGTCCCTCCTACCAGTTTCTTCCCTCTCCCCCAAAAGACTTAACCCTCCCCACTCTGTACCTCCCCACCTTTGTCAGGGGAGAAAGGGCATTTCCTTCCCCAGTTATTCAACTGATATAAGAAGGAGCTGGAAAATACCCTGTTTGGGGGTCTGTGTTTCTTCCCTGACAGTCTATAGGGAGAAAGAGACGAACCTTTTAATAGAGCAGACTAGGACCCTCATGCTCTGGAAACATCTACCAGCCTTCCCCATCAGTCAGCCCCTTTCTGCACCAAAGATTCACTATTTTAAGCACTGAATTCCAGGAAGGATGGTTGTTGGTAATAGCACTTAGTGGCATGACTAATCCTCTTGCTGGAATAAACCTGGCTTGGGGCTCTGAGGTGGTGCCAGGAAGCTGCCACTGAAGAGGAAATCCATACCCTAAAAGCACTCCCGTTTCATCTCCCGTTGTCAGAATATCATTCTAAAGGCCCTAGCAGAGGGTGGAAGGCATGGTCCTTGCCTGGCATGGGGTGAGAGTGGCCAGAGCTGGGGGTCCAAGGTGGATTCCAGGAAGGAGACAGAGGAGTTTTGGTTCCCATGTGCTTGCTCCTCGGTGCTACCACCTCTCGCACTCACCTGTCCTGTTTGTGTGCACACCCTAGCAAAGACTCAGGACGGAGTGGCCCTGGAGATCCAGCCACTCAACAGCCAGGAGGGGATCGACAATGAGGAAAAGGAGAAAAAGGCAGCCAAGCTGCCCAAAAAGGAGAAGTCGGTGCTGCAGGGCAAGCTGACGCGCTTGGCTGTTCAGATTGGGAAAGCCGGTGAGTAGGGCAGTGCCTCCTTGGTATCAGGGCTACTCTGGATCCTCGCCACTTTGGCTGTCTTCCTTCTGTCCCAGCCGGGCCGGCAGAAAGAAGCTGAACCTTCCCAGGGGCTCATGCAGCCGAGGTGGCTGCGCCCCTCTCTCTGCCCCCCTCTGGCCACTCCCTGGGCCTTTTCGGAGAGAAGTGTGCCCCTGTGTGCGAGGGCTAAAGACCCCACGCTTGGTCTCTTCCCTCCCAACAGAAGGGAAATAAAGGACTTCTGTCACAGCGGGGAGATTTACGTTAGCAAGAAGGAGGACGTGGACAACCACTCACCTGTTTCATGTGTTGGCTAGTAAATTCCTTCAGGAAGAGAGCTCCTAGGACAGGACTAGCAGCTGGCCTGGCAGAGCGCGATAAACGCAAAATAAGGACTAGAAGACACGGGAAGACCGTGATTTAGAGGGCCTCTTTCCAGAGGAGGGGTCACTCTTGTGTATCTTGAGAGGAAGTGGCTTCTCCAGCCCCTGCCTCTACATTCTCTCTCCACCTTCTGGCGGGGCGGGGCGGGGCGGGGGGTTTGGAGGAAGAAACTAAAGGAAGATTGCCCCTTCGGTGGACACACCTCTCAAGGGACCACCTTGTACCACTGTTTCATTTGCTCCTGACCCTGCCCTTCTGTGGACCACAATCCGTCTAGTCCGGTACATTCTGCGGGGACAGTTCACCTGAGATCTTATTAAAGCGCAGATTCTGATTCAGGAGGTCCGGGGGCGGGGCCTGAGATTCTGCGTTTCTAACAAGCCCCCAGGTGGTGCCAATGCCGCTGATCCGCTAACCACACATTGAGTGGCAGGAATCTATGCAGGGCACTACCCTGGCCACTAACCACACTGTTTCCCCTTAAATGAATTACAATTAAGTATGGGTAAACATTCAGTTCCTCCATCACATCAGCCTTGTTTCGGTTGGTCAATAACCACACGTAGCTAGCGGCTACCTTACTGGATAGTGCAAACGGGGGATGTTTGAAACATCACGGAGAGTTCAATTGGACAGCATTCGTCCAGCATGTTCATTCAGTTCTGGTCCCCAACTGATGGTGACCACCGTGAAATCTCTTGCGTATCAAATGTACATGGAGGACATGAATTACAGGTGTGGAATCAAGTTACTGAGCCTGGCACACAGGTGTGAAACATTAAACAGACCCCACCCAACCCCTCCTATGGTCCTCTGAACCCCTGCCTTGTTCTTTAGGGAGTACAGGCTTACCTGATGGCTGGCCACTAGTCTCCTCTCTTGTTTCAGTTTATGTTTCAAGCTGGGCCAGTAGGCGGTGAGGCAAGTCTGGTGCTTTGTACCACCCTGGGAGGGAGTGCTTCCTTGAATTTTGGACCCTAGGCACCTTGTTTGCCTCACCTTAGCCCTGACCCTGCTGAAGCAAAATTCAGAAGAATATGCTTTTATTGATATAATCACCTCTAGCCTTGCCCTGATCCTCTTGCATCATTAGGCCCTCAGGAAAAGCAAAGACCCACACTTACTATGGTTGGAAGCAAAGCTCTTCCCAGATATTGAGCCACAGATCGGTACAGTGTGCCCAGATACTGATCCCCTCCGCCTGCAGGGTGGCCAGGCAGTCCCCCAGGGTGGTTGGAACCCCTAAGCCAGTTGCTTTCTGACCTCAAAAAAAATTCTTCCATTCACATCAGTGTGTCAGACGACCAACCTGTCCCAGCTTGCTTGGGACTCTCTTGATTTTACCACTGAGAGTCTCACATCCCAGGAATCTGCTCAGTCTCAGGCAAGCCAGAATAGTTGGTCCCCCAACCTGTGTGCCATTTACAAAAAACCCTCTGTGGGGAGGTGGGTGTAGGGATGGGTGAAATAGGTGATGGGGATTAAAGATGACACTTACCATGATGAAAATAAATAAATAAGATTAAAATTTTTTTTAATCATAATTGTTTCTTGATCTTCTTTAAAAAAACTCTTTGTGCCTCAATTTCCTCATGAAAGGGGATGATAATACTAACTATGTCACAGGGGTTTTGTGAGGATTAAATGAGTTAGTGTTTGTGAAATGCTTGCCCGGCCTATATAATAAGCACTATAGAAATATTTGCTTATTATAAACATATAAATTATTGTCATATTCTGTCTATGCCATGTCAAGAGAAAGGTCAAGAAGCACCGTTCTAAAGGTTAGCCATGTGGGTGACGGGCTAACACCATAGGGGCATCGCTGTAAACAAGTCGGGTGAATTACCCGACGTTCCTCAGCTGCTAGGGGAGAAGCCCAAATTGATAAAGTCCTAGGAAATAGGGAAATACAGTCACTACATTATGAATTGTAGAAAGAGGGTAGGTCTGAGTTAGATTCATAAAATGCTGTTTTAGGAAACTAAACCAATTCCTTATTTATGAATGAGGAAACAGGCCCGGAGAGAGACAACAACTAGTCCAAAGCCACGAGTCGAGTCAGTGCTGTGCTGAGACTAGAACTGTGTCTGTGGATGACAAAACCAGCGTCTTTTCCCCTACCCGACAATGTACACGCAGCCGAGAACGGATAGGGGATTTGGGTGTGACTCCCCAGAGACAGTGGATTTAAACCTCGGTAGCAAAGGCTCCACCTCATGCCAGCCCCCTTCTGGCTAGGGCCCCCGGGGACACCCTCGAGCCTGGGCTCTGGTGCCTTGTTTCCGGGACAGGCCTCATCATGTCTGCCATCACGGTTCTCATCCTGATCCTGTACTTTGTGATCGACAACTTCGTGATACAACGCAAACCATGGCTATCGGAGTGCACTCCCATCTACATCCAGTACTTCGTCAAGTTCTTCATCATCGGCATCACCGTACTGGTGGTGGCCGTGCCAGAGGGGCTGCCACTGGCCGTCACCATCTCGCTGGCCTACTCTGTGAAGGTAAGACTGCAACAGGGCCGCCTCTTCTTTGGGGGCAGAGGTGGGAGGGGAGGGTGCCGGAGCCTCCGCTGAAGGGATGGGCCGTCCTATCTCCGCAAACTCCGGGGGGCGCCTTGAAGAGCAGAAGCCTCTGGCACCGCTCGGAGGCAAAGGGACCATCTTGATCGGCTGCATCCAGGTTGAGGTAACCCAGGAGCATCTGAAGAAGATTTATAAAAATTGTCTCCTGCATTGTTGTGCAGACAAGAGCATGAGACGTGGAGACACGTTGGCTAAAAAATGGCCTTTGAGGGGCGCCTGGGTGGCTCAGTTGGTTAAGCGACTGCCTTCGGCTCGGGCCATGATCCTGGAGTCCCGGGATCGAGTCCCGCATTGGGCTCCCTGCTCGGCGGGGAGTCTGCTTCTCCCTCTGACCCTCCTCCCTCTCATGCTCTCTGTCTCTCATTCTCTCTGTCTCAAATAAATAAAATCTTTAAAAAAAAAAAAATGGCCTTTGACCTGTATTTGGCAGAGCTCCGTCGGTCTCCCCTCAAGTCTGTCCTCATCTCCTTTGTAGAAAATGATGAAAGACAATAACTTGGTGCGTCACCTGGATGCTTGTGAGACCATGGGCAATGCCACGGCCATCTGCTCTGATAAGACCGGCACGTTGACCATGAACCGCATGACTGTCGTACAGGCTTACATCGGAGACACTCATTACCATCAGATCCCAAGCCCCGACGCCCTCGTGCCCAAGGTCCTGGACATTATTGTCAATGGCATTTCTATCAACAGTGCCTATACCTCCAAGATTCTGGTAAGCTCTTTCTTTGCCTGGACACTTAGAGTGAGTGGTTGGAGGGGACCATTAATTTTCTTTGGACAGAGGAATTTTCTCTTGTTTCTTTGCCTGAGTTGCCACCCCACATTCCCGCTCCCTACTCCTCAATGAACATGTTTGCAGTGACGACGGATTGATTCATGGGAGTAGAGTTGGGGGTGGGAGGCAGGTAGAAATCCAGGTGTCTGAAATGCCCACCAAACACCGTATCATGGCAGTATCTCTAGGAGAGATGGGTTTGTCAGGGGTAAATTACATACTTTCTGGAAACTAAGAGAGGGTGTTCAAATGAGACCCACCCAGAGTGAGAGACCAGCACCACCCCTAGGGCAGACTAGAACATCGCGAAGCCCAGGATGGCTCGGGGACCACAGTTACCACTGACCGCTGTCTGCTTGCCCTTGGAAAAAAGACAAAAAGCCCGCATGGGCTCCGGGCACGTACAGGAACGTTTCATCGGGGAGTTCTTTCCTTCCTAAGTTCTCTCCCTAGTCAGGGCATGTTACTCAACAGCATATCCAATTTTTCCCTCAGCCTCCGGAGAAGGAGGGAGGCCTCCCGCGGCAGGTGGGCAACAAGACCGAGTGTGCCCTTCTGGGCTTTGTCACTGACCTGAAGCAGGATTACCACGCCGTGCGCAGTGAGGTGCCCGAGGAGAAGCTCTACAAGGTGTACACCTTCAACTCCGTACGCAAGTCCATGAGCACGGTCATCGAGAAGCCCAGCGGGGGTTTCCGCATGTACAGCAAGGGCGCCTCCGAGATCATCTTGCGCAAGTGAGCACCCCTGCCCCCACTTTTCCTTCCCTTCCAGATCCTCCCCGCTGGAAGGTCTGGGTGACACGCGAGCCCCCCTTCCAGGTGGTGACACCATCACTAATAGCTGAGCACTTACTCAGGCCGAGGCTTATTTTCGAGTGCCTCGGGTGTCCCCTTCTGCTTAATCTTCACAACCCAGTGCAATAGATGCTGTTATCATCCCTGTTTTACAGATGAGAAAGCAGAGGTACGGGAAGTAAAGTAACTTGCTCAGGGTGAAACAGCTAAGAGTGGCGCAGCCAGGACTCAGACCTCAACAATCCAAGCTTTCATCTTCTCCTGTGAAACCCAAGGAGTACCCACGGGTTACTAGGAGTAGATGGGTCCATGCGCACTGGTGGGCCTAGGACATGTTGTGAGTTCGGTTCTAGAATTGCTGCAACGAAACGAGGCAAATGAGTCTTTTTGGTCCCCAGTGCATACAAAACTCATAGTTAAACTAGATTGTAGTCTGTTAAGTGTGCAATAGCCTTTTGTATAAAAAAACAACGTACATACCTTACTTTAGAAATACTTTATTGCTAAAAAATCCTCGCCATCATCTGAGCTTTAGCGATCATCATCTTTTCGCTGGTGGAGGGTCTTGCCTCCATGCTGCTGGCTGCTGGCTGATCGGGGTGGTGGGTGCTGAAGGACCAGGCGGCTGTGGCAGGTTCTTAAAATAAGACAATGACACGTGCGGCATTGATTGACTCTGTCTGTGAACGATTTCTCTGTAGCATGAGATGCTGTTTGATAGCATTTTATCCGCAGTAAAACTTCTTTCAAAATTGGAGTCATTTCCCCTCCAACCTTGCTGCTGCTTTATCAACTAAGTTTATGCACGATTCTAAATCCTCTCTTGTCATTTCAACGGTCTCCACAGCATCTTCATCAAGAGTAGATTCCATCTCAAGAAACCATTTTCTTTGCTCATCTGCAAGAAGCAACACCTCATCTGTTCAAGTTTGATCATGAGATTGCAGCCATTCAGTCCCATCTTCAGGCTCCGCTGCTAATTCTAGTTCTCTCGCTGTTTCCCCCACATCTGCACTGTCTCCCCTGAACTCTTGAACCGTGAGGGTCAAAGTCATCCATGAGTGTTGGAATCAACTTCTTCCAAACTGCTGTTAGTGTTGATATTTTGGCCTAAATCACGAACGTTCTTTATGGCATTTAGGCTGGTGAATCCTTTCCAGAAGGTTTTCAATTTACTTTGCCCAGATCCATCAGAGGAATCTCCATCTCTGGCAGCTATAGCCTTACAAAATGTGTTTCTTAAATAATAAGTCTTGAAAGTTGAAATTACTCCTTAGTGCACGGACTGCAGAATGGATGTCGTGTTAGCAGGCATGAAAACAACATTGATCTCGTTGGGCATCTCCATCAGAGCTCCTGGGTGACCAGGTGCATTGTCAGTGAGTGGTCCTATTTTGAAAAGAATCTTTTTCTGAGTAGTAGCTCTCAACGGTGGGTTTAAAAATATTCCATAAACCATGTTATAAACAGATGTGCTGGCATCCAAGCTTTGTTGTTCCATTTATAGAGCACAGACAGAGTGGATTCAGCATCATTCTAAAGGGCCCTGGGATTTTCAGAATAGTAAATGAGCACTGGCTTCAATTTAAAGTCACCGGCTACGTGAGCCCCTAACAAGCAAGTCAGCCTGTCCTGTGGGACTTTGAAGCCAGGCACTGACTCCTCTTTAGATGTGAGAGTCCTAGATGCCATCTTCCAGTATGATGCTGTTTTATCTACATTGACAATCTGTTGTTTAGTGTAGCCACCTTCATGAATGATCTTCGCTAGACCTTCTGGATCACTTGCTGTAGCTTCTGCATCAGCACTTGCTGCTTCAGCTTGCACTTTTGTGTCCTAGAGATGGCTTCTTTCCTTAAGCCTCATGACCCAACCTCCAACCTCTGCTGCTTCAGACTTCTTCTGCAGCTTCTTCACCTCTCCCAGCCCTCATAGAATTGTGGAGAGTTAGGGCCTGGCTCTGGATTAGGCTTTGGCCTGAAGGGAATGTTGTGGCTGGTTTCATCTTCTATCCAAACCTCTCAAACTTGCTCCAGATCAGCAATAAGGCTGTTTTGGTTTCATGGGAGCAGCGTTTTTCATTTCCTTCGAGAACTTTTCCTTTGCGTTCACGGCTTGTCTGTTGGGCACAAAAGGCCTAGCTTTCAGCCTCTCTCAGCTTTTGACTTGCCTTCCTCACCAAGCATTTCTTGGTGCCAATCATTTCTAGCTTTTGATTTAAAGTGAGACGCGGGCGCCTGGGTGGCTCAGTTGGTTAAGCGACTGCCTTCGGCTCAGGTCATGATCCTGGAGTCCCGGGATCGAGTCCCGCATCGGGCTCCCTGCTCGGCAGGGAGTCTGCTTCTCCCTCTGACCCTCCTCCCTCTCATGTACTCTCTCTCTCTCATTCTCTCTGTCTCAAATAAATAAATAAAATCTTTAAAAAAATAAAAATAAAAAATAAAGTGAGACGCATGCGACTCTTCCGTTGACTTGAGCACTTAGAGGCCACTGTAGGGGTATCCATGGCCTAATTTCAATAGTGTTGTCTCTCAGGAGAGAGGGAGGCCCGGGGAGAGGAAGAGAGAAGGGGAAAGAGCCGGGCAGTGGAGAAGTCAGAACACACGCGACATTATCAATTAAGTTTGCCACCTAAATGCACGTGGCTGTTGATGTCCCCAAACCATTACAATGGTAGCATCAGAGATCACTGATCACAGGTCCCCGTAACCAATAAAATAATGATGAAAAAGTTTAAAATATTGCAAAACTTACCCAAAAGTGGCACAGAGACATGAAGTGAGCAAATGCTGTTAGAAAATTGGTGCCGGGCACCTGGGTGGCTCAGATGGTTAAGCGACTGCCTTCGGCTCAGGTCATGATCCTGGAGTCCTGGGATCGAGTCCCGCATCGGGCTCCCTGCTTCTTGGGAGCCTGCTTCTCCCTCTGCCTCTCTCTCTCTCTCTCTCTCTGTCTCTCATGAATAAATAAATAAAATCTTTAAAAAAAGAAAATTGGTGCCAACAGACTTGCTCGATGCAGGGTGGCCACAAACCTTCAATGTGCAAAAAAAAAAGAAAACAAAAACAGTATCTGCGAAGTGCAGTAAAGCAGAGTGCAATGAAACGAAGTATACCTGTACCTAAAATGCCGGGCACATAGCAAGTACCAGAGATGCTAGCTGTATGTCCCCTTTTCCTTCTCATGCTCAGTTCTGATTACAGGAAGTTGCATAACTTCATCAAGTGGCTAGACTGTTCACGGGTCATTGAAGCGGACCTGTGTAGGTCCAGGGCCAGTAGCTGAATTAACCGGCGTCTCTGTTTGGCTCTAGCCACCGTCTTTCAATCAGCGCATACCTGTGGAGCAGGCCCTATGCACCAAGTACCATTCTAGTACTATGCTAGTACCGGAAGTAAAAGTGTCTCTCCACCTTTGAGAAGGTCAGAAGAGCAGGTGATCCATCCACAAATGACCCTTGGTGTCACATTCACAGAGGAGTAGATGAATAGGACCAGACGACAGGGGAGAGTCACATCCTCCGCTTACCTAGACCTTATCCACCTCCAGACCACCTCACTCCAGCCAAAAGGGACTCAGCAGGACAATGGATAGATTTCTGGCCTTGGGACAGTTGTCTGTAGGAGTAATGCGGAGGCGCCAGAATGTCTTCAAATGAGTGTAGAGACATATTGGGTGGGAAGGGGGTGCCGCCTCCTGATTGTGTGCCTCCCCAGGTGTAACCGAATCCTGGACAAGAAAGGGGAAGTGATGCCATTCAAGAATAAGGACCGAGACGAGATGGTCCGCACTGTCATCGAGCCCATGGCCTCCGAGGGCCTCCGAACCCTCTGCATAGCTTACCGGGATTTCAACGACGGAGAGCCCACGTGGGACAATGAGAGCGAAATCCTCACTGAACTCACGTGTATCGCAGTGGTGGGCATTGAGGACCCCGTGCGCCCGGAGGTGAGGCTTTGGCTTTGGCCAAAGGGTAAGAAAATATGAAGGGAAGCCTTCCAACAGCCTCTGGCCCACGAGCAAGGCAAGCGCGACGTAATGGGAAGCCAGCCCAGAGTCACGGGAACTGGGGGGACTCGTGCCATCTCTAGCTGTGACCCCAGGCAAGTTACTTACAGGGATAGATGTTTCTGTGCCTCCTGCTTTACAAAACTGCTGTAGAGTGCTGAGCTGGTAGAAGCTGGCATTCTGACGGTTATTGCTGTCGGAGGGGTGAGAGGCATAGGTTTTATCGAGCTTATGATCTGGTGCCTAAGAACAGTCAGGAGGCAGAGTTAACCAGAACACCAGCTTTGCCTCCAGCCACCTTCTTTCAATCAGTACATTCTTGCCAAGCGCCCGCAGAACAGCTGAACAGTATTCCAAACACTAAGGCATTGAAAAAGTCTCTGCTTATAAGAAGTTCAGACAGATGGACTATGAGTTGGTCAAGGCCCAAGGGCATGGGAAACTATAAAGAATTGACCGGTTGGAGTACGGGCCAGGGAGGTGGAGAATGGTAAAAACTTCTCCTAGAAAGAAAGACAGTGGCCAAATCCCAAAGTGGTGTGTGTGTGTGTGTATATATGTGTGTGTGTATATATATATATGCCCTGCTAAGGAGTCTAGACTGTAGGGAGAGGAAGCTTTCACTCCTGGCTCCTGAGGCAGATTTCCTCTTCAACTCATGGTACAGGAAGGCAAATTCAAGGGTAGTAGTATGGGTGGGACAGAAGTGAGGGGGCACCAAACAATAAACAATGACTAGACGTGGCCTGTCCCCATGGTGCCGCTCCTAGAGTGCCTCTCTCCTGTCCCTAGTGAAGGGACCCCGGACAGGGGCAGCTCAGCAGGCCTCACCGCCCCCACCTCCTCCTTACTCTCCACAGGTACCCGAAGCTATTGCCAAATGCAAGCGAGCTGGGATTACTGTCAGAATGGTGACAGGTGACAACATCAACACAGCCCGGGCCATCGCCACCAAATGTGGTATTATGACACCTGGGGATGACTTCTTGTGCTTGGAAGGCAAAGAATTCAACCGACTTATCCGCAACGAGAAGGGAGAGGTGGGTCCCGGCTGGGAAGACCCAAGGCCTCATTTGGCACCTGGTTGGGGGGGAGGGGGGGGCGGCTCTCACATCTGGGACACGCATCTGGGACACGGGAGAGAGTGGCTGGGTTTTGGTGTTCTTGTTTGTTTGTTTGTTTGTCTTGAAGATCTAATTGGCTTTATTAAATGGTTTCATGAATTGGGCAGCATCCCATATAGCAAGTAGGGGGAGCTGTGAGGAGTTGGACTGCAGGTGCGTGGTTTTTAAACTAAAATCTATTCAGAGCGAACCTTCTACCGGGACTGCTCAGGTGGGAAAACTGGGAGTTTTCTTTCTTCTCTTTATCCTCTGTCATAAGCTGTCTTTTGAGACAGTGTCACTGACTTCTTACATCTTCCTGATTGCGTTCAGTCATGGGATGCTTTCGTACTGATTCCCCTCCACCTCACCCTCCTGTGTCACCACCCTGTGACTAGTGATGGGTGGCACGGATCTGCAAGAGGATGTGGTCTGGGTGTGGAGCAGACCAGAGCTTCCTGGTCTGCACAGAAACCAAACTGGAGACCTCAGAAGCACCTTAGCCAACAGTGGGCCCTGGCCCACCTCCTGTCAAGGGTCCAAGAAATAGGGCATTGGCTCCCCAGTAGGGAACTGGGAGGGAAGTGAAGAAATGCAGGGCCTGAACGGTCACCATCAATAAATCTGCCCCTGGGGACGGAGCTGGCTGTTCCGTCTCCCCTGGAGGCCGTGGTAACACCCACCACGGGCTGTGGCAGGCCAGCTCTCCCAGAATCTCAGAGCGCAGGGAGATGTAAACTTCGCCCGGATGGCTGTTCTGAGCTTGACTGACCCAGTGTGGTCTGGTGTTGGCAGGTAGAGCAAGAGAAACTGGACAAGATCTGGCCAAAGCTTCGAGTCCTGGCGCGATCATCCCCCACGGACAAGCACACATTGGTAAAAGGTGAGCTCGGCTCCTGACCGGGTGCCTGGGGCAGATGATGGCAGGCTGGGCAACAAGACAGAAAACAACAACCACTGGCCAAAGCAACTCTCTTGTCTTGAATAGGAAGGTCCCAGGAGAGCTGTCTAGCTCATGGTGGGGCGGGGAGGGGGCAGACAATTTAGCAAACATCTACAAAGAAGACCTGTAATAAAGTTGTCTTTAAACATCGTATCTTGTTTGCCAATATTTCTGTGTACTAGTCAGAGCAGGTTAAATTGTTCCCATTTTGCCAATGAGGAAGTTTGAGGCTGAGAAGACAAAGAACTCACCCAGATTGCCCCGCTGGTGAGCGGAAGTGGTCCAGTTCAACCCCCAGGTCTCTGTCTTCAAATCACCCGGCGCTTTCTCCAGCACATACTGGCCACCTCCAGGCCCCCGCTAGGCTACCTGACGAGGACAGACTCAGAGCTCCGAGCGCCACCAGGAAACAATTGACAGCCTTTGGGTGATCCTGTAGAGCCTCCAGCATCGGGAAGAAAGGAAAGAACAAAGTAGAAAGGGAGGTGGTCCACACACTCTCACTCACACACGCACACACTTCCATGGCACCAGCCTGGACTCCAGAGAAAGGGCATCCAGGTTCCATGTGTGTGTGTGTAGATGTATGCACATGTGCATGTGTGTACCTGCTGGTGTCCCGCTCTGACACCCTGATCTCCTGTCCTCTCCTTGGCCAGAAGCAGCCAGCCTCCTGGCAAGTGTAATTTTCCACTTTTACTCTTCCCTCCAGTCGTTTGCTTCCTGCTCCCGCTCACGTAGCACACAGCCTCGTTGGCCGAGATGGGATGGAATGATGGCTGGGCTTCACCCGCTGGCTGTGGGACCCTGCAAGGCCTTTCCCCTCTCTGGGTTTCAGTTTTCTCATCTGTAAGGTGGTAGGAGTTGCTCAGAGCATGGATCCCTCTGGATCCCCTCCAGGCCTCCGATTGTATCATGCCTGCAGCTTCGGGCTGCCTGTTACTGGACCCTTGGCTTCTCCCCCTTCAAGGTGCTGTGCCTGCTGGCGCGGGAGGCTGAGACCCTGCTCCCCCCACCACCACCAGGGGGCAGGAGAGCACCGTCCGCCAGGTGCCCAATCCACCAATCTCAGCCCCGTGGGGCCTGGTCTTACCCCTTCTTTTTTTTTTTTAATTTTTTTTTAATTTATTTGCGAGAGAGAGAACGAGAGACAGAGAGCATGAGAGGGAGGAGGGTCAGAGGGAGAAGCAGACTCCCTGCCGAGCAGGGAGCCCGATGCGGGACTCGATCCTGGGACTCCAGGATCATGCCCTGAGCCGAAGGCAGTCACTTAACCGACTGAGCCACCCAGGCGCCCGGTCTTACCCCTTCTTGTGGTTGTTTTCAGCTAGTAGCTGGACTTCGATGTATAAATAGCCTGTGTTTCTTGCCTGCTGCCAGGGTGAAGCCTGGACGAGGCGCTCCTCCAGCCCTGCCTCTGACCTTCAGACAGCTGAACAGAACAAGGCAGACCAGTGGCAGCTCCTCAGGAGCTGACAGATCTGTCGGCGCTCAGAAGGGGGGGTTACACTTTCAACATGCTATAAAGTGAGCTTGTCACCCACAAAAAAAGAAAAGAAAAGGAAGGCAGGTGGTAGCAGGGACCAGGGAAGAAGAGCCACAAAGGGCCTCGGTGGGGAGCAGAGGGCTTCCACCCGGCTTGAGGTGGTGCATGTGGACTCACCGGCTTGTACTGTTTTTCCAGGCATCATCGACAGCACTGTTGGGGAGCAGCGACAGGTGGTGGCTGTCACTGGTGATGGCACAAATGATGGGCCTGCTCTGAAGAAAGCAGACGTTGGTTTTGCCATGGTAAGCAGCTCGGCACGCTGTCCCTGCCTGCAAGCTGCCTTCTCCACCCGGAAGCCAGGACGGGCCTCTTGCAGCCTGCCGCTTCCAGTACCTTCACCCCCTCCCTGTGCTCTTTTCTCTGACACCATCTTGCCTGCTGACCTGGCTGGTAAAAGTCTGTGTAATGGGAGACCCATCAGGTGTGAAGACTAGATGACCCAGGCAGGGAAATCATGACGCCTCATTACCATGAACGTGGTGATGTTCTAGGCAGAGCATAGAACATTCAGGTTCCTAGGAAGCATGTATGCCATGGTCAGCACTGTCCATCCCTCTGCTTTTCACTTGTGAGACCAGGAGCATCAGAATCACTTGGAAAGTTCATTTAAAATCACGTATTACAAGGTTCCGCAAGTGGATATCTTGATTCAGTAGCATCTGGGTCGGTCCCAGAGATGTTTGGCGTTTCCTAACAGCCACGCTTGTTGATTCTGATGTTGCAGCAAATGAGGAAGCCCCCAGATGGCCAAGGACGTCCTCACACCCAAGTGGCTTGTGATTGTAAGCCTCCCGTGTGTATTGAACTATTGGTGATTTTTAAGCAGTGGAAGGAGTTTCAAGAAGTAATCTGTCTTTACGGTGCTCCCTTTAACAACAACAACAACAACAACAAAAACATCGTTTCTAGGAAGTTTCAAGAAGATACGGAAGTAGAGGGAATAGTTTAATGAATCCCCATGTACCTGTCACCCAGCATTAATTATCAATACCTGGCCCAACTTGTTTCACTGAATGTCCCCCCCCTCCCCCACTTCTCCCATCTCCAGCTGAACTGTTCTGAAGCAAATAAAGGACATCACATCATTTCATTTGAAAGAATGTTAGTATACGCCTCTGATAAGTGTGCATCGAGGACGTACATCTAGAAGAATCATACCACCAGTCATCTAGTCCATCCCCCCATTGCCCCAAGTGCTTTATAAATTCTCTTTCTTCGTCCAAATCAGATCTAAATAAGATCCATACACTGCAATTGCTTGCTGTATCTCTTAGAGCTCTTAATCTATAGCAGGAGTTTTTGAAGCGTGCTCCTCCTCCCAGCTGGGCCTGGAAACCTATAGAAATGCAGATTCCCAGGCCCACCCCAGCTCTTCTGGATCTGACAGCTCAGCGTGGGGGCCCAGCAATCTGGGCTTTCACAAGCCCTTGACATTTCTGTCACACACTAAAGGTTGCGAACCACTGGTCCTATAGGATCCTTGTGTCAGGGGTCCCCAAGGCCAGCCTTTACATTTGTGGATTCACTGGATGGACTCATGAGACTCAGCATAGAGTTGTACTCATGACTAAGATTTATTGCATGGGTACGGTAAGGGAGAAGTCTGGAGGAATCCACATGCGGGCTTTCTGCTCTCTCCCTCAATGAGGGCTCACAGCACACTCTTCCCCCGGCAACACACGTGTGATGTTTCTACCTGGGGAAGCCCATCAGAGATCCAGTGCCCAAAGTTTTTATTGGGGTTGGTCATATAGTCACTTTTTGCCTAATACGTGCTAAGATTCCAGACTCCTAGGGGGTGCCTGGGTGGCTCAGTCGGTTGAGCATCCAACTCTTGGCTTTGGCTTGGGTCATGATCTCAGGATCGTGAGATCGAGCTCTGCATTGAGCTCCACACTCGGCAGGGAATCTGCTTGAGATTCTCTCTCCCTCTGCCCCTCCCCCCATTCACACATGCTCTCACTCTCTCTCTGTCAAATAAATAATTAAATCTTTTTTTTTTTTTTTTTAAAGAGAGATTCCAGATTCCTAGAAGGAAAGCAGGTGTTCAAGAGAAAACATATTATTCAGGCACAGTCTAGGCACAATGAACCACTAATTAATTTTCAGTTAATTGTTGACTGGGAGCATTCTAAGAGCCAAGGTCCCAGATGCCAACTCAGGGCCAACCTCACAAATAGCCCTTTCTAGGGATAACAGCACACTATGTTAGCTCTCCTGCCCAATCCCCTCCATCTTTTTTCCTAGCTATTTAATTTTGAAGGAACCAGGCTGGTTGAATACATAGAACAATGCATAGCATGGATTTTGTTGATTGTATTCTTGTCATATATAATCAGATTCTAGATCCCATCTTTCATTAGGGGCTGCAAAATAACGTCCAGATTTTCTCTATTTATTAAATTGAAGACTTCTATAGAAAGAAACTTGTGCTCAAGGATTATTTGGTTACTCTGAGGTTGAGGTTCAGGTTCCTATATGAAAGGCAGCTAAATGCCCGATCCTTTTTCTTTATTTACTAGTTTTCAAAATGAGTTGACTTTTTAGGATACTCCAAAGATGACCAATGAATTATACATATATATGTTTTTAAATTTTATTTTTTAAGTAGGCTCCATGTCCAACATGGGGCTTGAACTCATAACCCCAAGATCAAGAGTTGCACATTCTACTGAGTGAGCCAGCCAGGCACCCATGAATTATATTTTTTAAATTAACTCTACTAAGTTACTCCAGTAAAAACAGTTCATTGTTTATTTTTTTAATATCATTATGAACTCACAGATTTAAGTATATTTGATGTGTTTCAATCCATTGCCTTTGTTATTATTTTGACGTTCACATTGACTTGTCAGTAGCCTCATGAGTACTGCTGGGTCCTTTAGATACAACCCCAGTTGTCCTTAATACCTTACTTGGCTTCTGGCATGATAAGATATTCCAGAATCATCATATATATTTCTCATCCTAGATCTGGAATCATCCCTTTCTCAAAGAGTCCTGCTTTTTAGTAAGAAATGGTACTTAGAGACCACAATCTGAATGTCGGGGTGTTCCTTACTGCCAAGTAAATCATTGTTTCTAGATCTTTTCAATGGTTTTGGTCAAAGCTAGGAAATATATCTTTTATGTCTCTTTTTTGTTTTTGCATTTCTTTGTTTTAAAGATAAAATACTTCATGAGTCCATACTGGTATTTTTAATTCAAATTTAGAATTATAGAACTCTAACTTACTACTTTTATTTAACTTCCCTAATTTTATGTTTATATCTCTTAAGCTGAAAATTTTGATTCCTAATGGCATTAACATAATCCTTACTGGTTTTACCCTAAAATATAAGTAACAGTCTCAAAATAGCAATAATAATACAATTACTCTACAAAAAACAGTTCAAGATTTCTCTTGTAGTTCTTTTTATCCTATAGGTATACTCTGCTGGGTTCTACCATCAAGGTACTATGGTTTTTTTTAAAAGCCATTTGGAATATCTTTCCTTTGTGTGATTGTGCTACCCACTGGTTATACCAGTTTGTTTATACTATGTTGCTTTCCATTTTAGAGATTGCTTCTTTTTTTTAAGTAGGCTCCACACTAGGCCCCAATGTGGGGCTCGAACTCATGACCATGAGATCAAGACCTGCGCTGAGATCAAGAGTCAGACACTTAACTGACTAAGCCACCCAGGTGCCCCTAGACATCGCTTTTTAAACTTACTTTTGATTTATACTCATATAAAGTGTTACATAGTTCTAAAGTCAAATATACAAAACAAAGTCTATTCCTAGAAATCCAGCTTCTATCCCTATCACCTCCACCCTATTGCCTCCCCTCTTAACCCTAAGTAACATTTCTTTTGTTTTTGGTGTATCCTTCTGTTTGCCTCTTTAAAATATAATCAAACGTATGATGTATTTGTATCCTATCCTCTTAGATATGTGATACTTATCTATACTGCCATGTATACTTATCTACACACATACCATACACTCTTTTTTTTCACATTCTGTAGTAGAAAGTATATATAGTCCTCCTTTCTTTTTTTTCCCCTCCTTTCTTTTTCCAGTGTATGTAACACATTGTGTGGATGTGTTAGAGAACTTTTTGATGGGGAAACTGAATTGTATAATCTATAACATATTTGTTCATTGCAATCTGGATAGGAAAATATTACTACCAGGTAAAGAGAACAAATCATATACTACTGCAAGCCAAATCAATGAATAAGCTCCTCTGTGGTTATAGGCTTTGTGAGACATGGAATAGAAGTAGGGGCTGGGGTTCTTAGGGATGGTTTTGCGTCCCATAGACCAGTAAAGATAGACAAGGTTTAAACAGATGAGGAAGGAGGATGTTTCAGGTTTAGGGAAATGGTGTAAGTAGAAGTCTAGACTCTAGAAGTGAAGGAGAGATTCAGGGAATTGTGAATAAACCAGTGGGTTTTGAGCAGAAAGATTATATAGGAGCAGACTGGAAAATGAATCTGAGTTCACCTCTTGAGGGCTCTGACTACCAGTCTAGAAATTTTACTGTTTCTGTAAGCACAGCTTTCAACCATTGTCTACTGAGAAACCTTTAGTGGTTCCCCAGGAACAGGAATTTGAACAAGCATAGGACATCTGAACTTCACTGCCAGACTACTCCTGCCAGAAAAAAGTGTAAGGTGACTTAGAGGTGTGGGGGAGACAAGGACTTAAGTGAGACACTGGCCATGGCAAAAGAAATATAAGAATTTAGGGGCAAAAAAAGAATTTAGAGGCTCCTGGCTGGCTCAGTCGGTGGAGTGTGTGACTCTTGATCTTGGGGTTGTGAGTTCGAGCCCTACATTGGGTGTAGAGATTACTTCAAAATAAAATCTTGAAAGAGAAAGAGAGAGAGAGATGGAAGGAAGGAAGGAAGGAAGGAAGAAAGGGAGGGAGGGAGGGAGGGAGGGAGGGAGGAAGGAAGGAAAAAGAAAGAGGGAAGGAAGGAAGGAGGAAGGAAGGAAGGAAGGGAGGAAGGAAGGAAAAAGAAAGAGGGAAGGAAGGAAGGAGAAAGGAAGGAAGGAAGGAAGGAAGGAAGGAAGGAAGGAAGGAAGGAAGGAAGGAAGGAAGGTTAAGAAAAAGATTAAGAAAGAAAGAAAGTGTAGGGATTTGGAGGGAGAATAGGACATGGGTTCCCTATCCTTTCCTTCATTTCCAAGGTGGGGGAGTAGCAAAGAAGGGAGAAAGGAATATCATAGATAACTGTCATTTCCAGTTTGGGTTCAGGAGTAAGATGGTGGCATCAGGCCCTAGCCCTGCTTTCTGTGGACTGACAGCGACACATTTTCTCTGGAGGAGAGGAGAACTCAAAATACAGTGGCTCTGTCATTGGCATTAGCGTGGGGAGTGCGCCCTCTAGTGTTTTTGGCCGGTTCGGAAGCTTCTTGGAGGTCTGGAAATGCAGTCTGGGTTCAGAACGTAGATAAACTCTGCTTTATCCACGTCCTCACTGCTCTCCTTCCCTCTCTTACTCAGGGTATTGCAGGCACAGACGTAGCAAAGGAGGCATCAGATATCATCCTAACAGATGACAACTTCACCAGCATTGTGAAGGCAGTGATGTGGGGGCGAAACGTCTATGACAGCATCTCTAAGTTTCTGCAGTTCCAACTCACTGTCAACGTGGTAGCCGTGATCGTGGCCTTCACTGGAGCCTGTATCACTCAGGTGAAGGGAGTGCAGGGGGGGCTGGGAGGAGAGGGATGAGGCGGGGGCTAGGGAACGTGGGGAGTGGGGTCCTGGCTACTGAGGATTAAGGACAAGAGTTTCCCCAGGGGGGTTGGGGCAGGAGTTAGCTCTCCTAGGTCTCCATCGGCCCATGCGGGGGAATGAGAAGTTATCTACTGCTAATTTAGCACATGCACGTTAGCCACTGTGATGAGTACTTCTGTGGTCTTCAAAAACAACCTTGCAAAGTGGGTATTCTCCCCATTTTACAGGCGAGGAACCCAAGGCTCAAAGAGGTTAAGTAACTTTCTCAAGGGCACTCAGCTAATAAATGGGCAGATCCAAAGTCTAGGTGGATAGCGGGAGCTAGGCCGTTGCAGGGGCAAAGCTGAGGCTGATGAGTGAGGTAGGGGCTGGTTTCCAAGGAAAGCTAAAAGGACTGGTGCTTCTCCCCACCAGGATTCCCCACTGAAAGCCGTGCAGATGTTGTGGGTTAACCTCATCATGGACACTTTTGCCTCATTGGCCCTGGCCACGGAGCCTCCTACAGAGTCTCTGTTAAAGCGTCGCCCCTATGGCCGAAATAAGCCTCTGATCTCACGTACTATGATGAAGAACATCTTGGGCCACGCTGTCTATCAGCTCACCGTCATCTTCTTCCTCGTCTTTGCCGGTGAGCCAGGGGTAGGGCTGGGACTGGGGACAGGGGTCGGAGTGCAAAGCAGAGATGGGGGCAGAGAACAGCCCAAGGGAGCAAGCTGAGCACGGGACTGGGGATGACAGCAGCTTCACCCACTGGGGGTGTCCCTTGCCCCGCTATGTGGCGCATCATGCTATTTGACATGCTGCTCTTGAGAATTTCACACGGTGGCTTTCTGTAGTTTTTATTATTTTTTAAAGATTATAAAACTAAAGCTCGGGTCACGTGGTGAGTAAATCGTGGCACTAAGATGGAGCCTGTTGTCTGCCTGACCCTCGGCAGCTTTCCCCCCACGCTGCACCGTGAGAAGTCAGTCACTGGAGCGGACGCGGAGAGAGAGTCAGATACGCTGAGACCAGAGCTAACACTTAAAGTGTTCGATAACTAGTGTAGCTCAGCTACTGACCCATTAGAATGGACACCAGCCGTAAGCCACCAGTTTGGCCATACCAACGTGCTGTTCTGACTCAACCTGAGCGCTCGCCGACACCATACGTGACCCGCTAATGCTTCCTTTGTCCCCACTAGGTGAGAAATTCTTTGACATTGATAGCGGGAGGAAGGCGCCTCTACACTCGCCCCCCAGCCAGCACTACACCATTATTTTCAACACCTTTGTGCTGATGCAGCTCTTCAACGAGATCAATTCCCGCAAGATCCACGGGGAGAGGAACGTCTTCGCGGGCATCTTCCGCAACCTCATCTTCTGCGCCGTGGTCCTGGGCACCTTCATCAGCCAGGTGAGCCTCTGGCTGGAGTCGGGGCAGGAGGGCTGGGTGGCAGAGGTCAGAAGCAGGGAACAGCGTTCCCTAGGTACCCAGGAGAAGGGGGGAGGGAAGGATGGGGACTCGGGCTGCGGATCGAATGCTTTTGGATTCCCAGTTGGCCTCCATTTGCACATTGCTCCGGAACTGGAGCTTGCTGGGTCAAGTGCTGTGGTGCAAGGCAACACGTTGGGGGCAAATAAAATAAGATTGGTGGGGTCCTTTCCTTGTCTTCCTAAAGCACAGAAATTTCAGAGTGGCCAAGAAGAGGGTCACTCCCCGCGGTCCTTTCCATGCCTCCTGCCAGCGTACGTGAGACGTGCGGGTACGTGCTGTAGGGCTCTGTCCTTGTCCCTGCGCCTTCGTTCATGAGGGGCCCCTGGTAGAAAACGCTGCGCAGTTCGCAGACAGAGAGGAGTGTGGCATGGGGCACAGGCGGTGGACACATAAGCCTCTCGCAGAACTGAGGTCAAGGGCATGGCTGCCCTGGGGTAAAAGGATTGGGTCCCTTCCTCCTTGCCCCAGTCCGAGGTACACTGAACACCTGCAGATACAGGAGACTCTGAGCTCGCCCTATACCAAGGGCTTCTGCCCTCCCCAGCCGGGGTCCCCCTCATGGGCCCCCCTCTTCAATTCCTTCTCTCCATCTCTGCGCCTTCTCTTGGCACCTCACCCGCTGGCTGTAGTCACGAGAAGCCTCCAGCCCCCCTGGATCTGCCCCTCTTACCTTAATAATATTCATAGTAAGTAGCTCTGTCTCCCCCTCAGGGTCTCTAGAAAGACTGTGTCTGTCTTCTCTTCTCCCCTTTCAGATTTCTTCTTTCTCCTCCTCCGACCAGCAGATCAGGACTGGCACCACCGGGATCATGGGCCAGGGCTCTGACGTCGCTTTGGTAGCCTCGGCTAGAGGGCTAGCTGCCCGTGACTCGCCTCCCTGATGGTGGGCTGCCTCTTTCTCTGTTCTAGATTCTCATTGTGGAATTTGGGGGTAAACCCTTCAGTTGTACGAAGCTCACCCTGTCTCAGTGGTTTTGGTGTCTCTTCATCGGCATCGGAGAGCTGCTGTGGGGCCAGGTGAGTACCAGCAGGCTCGCCCCATGCGGGTGCGTGGCCAGCACACTCTCTCTCCTCTGGAGGAGATGGGACATGCGACGGCGGCACCTCCCAGCTCCTCACCAGCATCTTCTCCTTCCCTCCCCTTCCTCCCCCCACTTTTTGAGGTTTTCCTGTCTTGCAGGATCCTGGAGTAGCATGATCAGTGCCCACCATTTCAGAGGCTTTGGATCTCTTCTCTAACCATGCCTAGAGGCAGGCAGATCCCTTAGCGTCTCTGAGATGGGAGTGGAAATTTTCAATGGAATTTTGCTAAAAAGAGAAAAACAAAATTAAGGGTCTTAGAAGTAGAAGTTTACAGAGCAGAAGTCTTTATTTTAATGAAGCCACAGTCTGGCTGTGAGCTGCTCCTCTGACCTAGTTTAGGGCTCCCCTACCCCTCATGTTCACCACGGCCTTACTGGGTTGACTGGGTTGAATGGCTGACTCTCACCTTAGATAAATCTAGACCCACCAGGTCGCTAGAAAAGCAATGTAGCACCCAGTTCAGAGCATGGACTCTGGGACCGGCTACCCGGGTTTGAATCCCACATCTCCTTTCTACAAGTAGAGTCACTTTGAGCAAGTGCCTTAACCACTCTGTGCCTCCTCAGTCTCCTCAAGTTAGGAGAACAGGATCATTGTTCATCGTTGTTAATCAGCCAATCCGTTACAACACAGAAATGACTTAGAACAATGTCTAGTACCCTCTAAGTACACAGTAAAAGTTAGCTATTAACATGATAATAGGATCAGGTCTGGTAAGTTTTGTTCCTTCCCAGATACCACTTTGCACATCCCCCTCATCCTCAGCTCTGAGCCAGACTAAGCTCTGCTTTACAGACCTCCAGTCTCTACTGATGGGCACCTAGCCACCTGGGTAATGGCTTTGCTCTAAGTGGCCCCAGAGATCCTTCCCTGGGACTGCAGACCTTCCCCATATACCTGCTACTTGTTTCTTTCCTACGTCCCAGATGCCTCCCTGATCAATTGCTGTCCCAGTTCCTTCCATGAGTCCCTCCACCCTGTTCTGTTTGGTGGTGTTTCTTTACCATGGGTCCCTTTTACACCTGGGTGAAGCTTGGTTGTTTCACCAGCTGTCTGAAAGTCCCGTCTGGGTCTAGTCTCACACATGGCCACACAGCCTTGATGCTAGAGACCAGCCTTCCTTCTGCATCACAGCAGCTCCTTCCAATCATCCAAAAGCAGATATCCTTCCCATTTCAAAATCCTTGACTCCATGTTGAACTGCTCATACAGTCCCTCTCTCATCCCAGCCCTGTCTACTCCTCGTCTGTGTGTCAGGGAGAACTGATTGACTGAGCTTCTTGAGTGACTTATTTTGAATTGCAAGCCCAACCTCCTGCCCATGTCTGATAATACTTGTGTATCCCTTCTTCCCCGGCCTGTCTCACCCACTTCCTCGCTCCAAGCCCAAGAAAACCTCTAGTATCCTTTCACCCTTGTTTTGTAACACAGGAATTACTTTGCGCATGGTAACTAGAAGAGGGTCCTTCCCTTCTGACACTTCCCTTCCCTTTGCCCATACACTTGCAATGGGATCATCCTCTCCTATCCCCAGACTTGTTTCCCCCCAGGCTCTGGTCCCTGTCCCTTCTTACCATGTGCCATGCATTATAGTTCTACTTCCCTTAAGAGACACATGGCAAAATGGAAATGAAGAACTGAGACAGAAGGAGAATCAAGTATATAACTAACTAGGCAGATGGCTGGCCGCACATGCAAATGTCAGTTCTCCTTCGTGTGTCCACAACTACAGAAAACCTTCCTGAGGGCCTGCCATTTGGTAGGCCCTGAGGAGTGCTTGCCTGGCTAGGTTGGCACCTCTCCTGCTGCCCCCCTCAATGGGTGTTGGGGCAAAGAGTGACCTATGCAAGGGCCTGACCCCATGTGAGCTGAGGGACAGCCCTCTCACCCTGATTCTGGTGTCTCCCCTTTTGCTGCACCTGTTCTCAGATCATCTCCACGATACCTACCCAATCCCTGAAGTTCCTAAAGGAGGCTGGGCACGGCACCACCAAAGAGGAGATCACCAAGGACGCGGAGGGGCTGGACGAAATTGACCATGCAGAGATGGAGCTGCGCCGAGGCCAGATCCTCTGGTTCCGGGGCCTGAACCGTATCCAGACTCAGGTACTCTGATAGTGGCCGGTCCCCCTGCCGGGAGAAGACATCTCTCCATGTTGGGAAGTGTGGGAGGGGCAGCCGCTCCTGGTGGCCAACATCTCTTCCCTCCCTAAGGCTCACTGCCGGTGGGCAGCCCGAGCTCCCTAGCTCCAGGGGCGAGCTGCCTGGGCTTCTCTGGGAGGAGAGGAGTCATAGGGCCCAGAGCACCGGACGCAAACTGGTGGCATCGTCCTTTAGCTTCCAGTCGGTTCTAAAGCCCATTTTGCCACCCTCCCTGTGGCCAGCAAGCTTCCTGTGTAAGGTCTCTTGCAAGCACCAGACCTGACGTCAGGGTGGGAGATGTTCAGAGTCTATCCCTACCCTTCAGGAGGAAGGAACTAGACAATAGCCCTAAGCCAGCATCACCAGCATACACTTTGTATGCGTCCCCAGGCTGCTGGCGGGTAACACAGCCGTTATCGGAGGGGTCTTTGTAAAAGAAACTCACCCTCTCATATCTTCCCCACTCACACTTTAAGGCCATGGTGGGGAATCTGACAGCTCAGTGTGTATAAATGACAAAAGTCTCTCAATGCCTGAGTATCTTTTGCAGGATTCAGATTTGCTTCCCCAAAAGGAAGAAGCTATAATTTCCTCAAGCCTTTTCCCGTCTCGCAATTTCTGAAATGACATAGACGGCTGCTCTTAAGCCCCCTGCCTGTGGAGCCCTACAGTAACGTTTTTCTTCCCACTTTCCATGCAGCAACTGTAACCACCTGCTCCTGGGTGGGCGGGCTGGTCTAGGCCCTGGTCATTCTATCATGTTCCCTGTTCTTGCCCTATATGCCTCTGTTCTGAGTCCTGAGATTTCCCGTCTCCAGAGAGCAGGCCTATTCCTCTCTACTGGTTGGCTGGAGATCCCAGAAACAAGTTCCACTCTCAAAAATTAGCTGCCGATGGCGTAGAAAGTTCCCTAGTCAAGCCCACCTCGTTCGGTCATAGGGAAGAGAGATCAAATGAAGCCTCACCACTGCATACCTGCTGGGAACTTGTCCCCCATAGGCAAGACGGTGATGGAAGTGGGAAGGCAGGGCTAGTTAGGGAAGCACTGGGGCTCCTTTCTCCTCTCTCGGGTTCCTCCCCCCAGAGAGGGAAGCTCCCCAGGGCCTGCAAACCACCCCCCCACCCCCCCCCACCCCCCCCCCACTGGCTCTTGTCTCTAAAGCCCCGGTGCTTTCCTTCAGGTCTGCTCCTTTCAAAATAACCTGTCTGCTTTTCTCCCTTCAGGGTCACTGCCTCCTCTTCTCCTCTGTGATATTGTTTTTTCCCTAGCCCAGGATTCCCTGGTTCCAGCATCTCCTTGGCCCCTCACCAGTCTTCCGTCGCGGGGGGCTGAGATTCATGGATCTCCCTTCCTTTCTACTCCCAATTCCCACTCCCTTGACTCTATACCCCTGGGTTCGGATGCACGACCTGCACAGTTTTCACTGTGGAAGTGGGGGCCTTGTGACGCGAACAAGCTCAGGAAAGTACCTTCCCCGTTACAGTCCCCCATCCCCGTCGTGGCCCCCCATCCCCATGTGCAGCCCCTTCCCTCCCACAGGATCAGGCCCCTCCTTGCCCCGGAACTAAAAACTATATAACGTGATGAAGGGATGGTAGTTTAGCTCAGACTTTGGTCTGAATCTGGAAACCAACCCTAAACATTCTGTGGCTTCTCAGGAAGCTTTATAAATAAGAACAACTGTCTGTCTCCCAAGGTGCCTGTTTTGTTACCTTCCCACCTGGGGAAACAAAGTGAAATGAATGGAGTCGGCCCCTGCTATTAAGCCTGTGGGCGTTTTTTAAGATGGTTCTACCAGATCCTGAAGGATAGAGGAATTCCTTTTGATTTGTTCCTTGTCACTTAGGGGTCGGAGATCAGGACAGTAGGTTTGTCCCAGGCCCCAGACCAAGGCCGTGATTGGTAACCAAACGGCACAAATCACCTCTGTGTCTGAGAAGTAGGACACAGAGAGCCAGAGACCACTTGCTAGACTGTAGCCACTGACCACCACCGCCAACCAGCACGTCTTGCTCCCCCGCCCTCAGTCTAGCTACCGAGTTATTGTCAGACGTTGCCAGACGTTTCAGGACCCCCGGTGCCGGCGGCATTCTCGCTAAGGAGCCTGGCTGCTGGGTTCCTGAGCTCCCTTCTCAGGGGCCCTGTCTGCTTCAGCCCAAGGAGGGGGGTCTCAGAACAGACACCCAGAAGCAGGTGAGCCCAGCAGCCGGGGGCTAGGAGCCTTTCCACCCCAGCCACCTGTGTGTGGCCTACTACCAGCCTCGCTTTTTTTCTTTAAACGCAGGAATTCTTTTCCTGCAAAATCTGCAAAAATCGATAGTCAACTTAATTGGTTCAGAGGTTCCTGAGGCTCAAAATTCAGTTACTATATATACTCCACCTTCTATCTTAAATGGCATATGCCTTATTTTTTAAGAGTCCAGATCAACACAATGAATAAGCTGTCACTCTCTGTTAGGAGTCACGGGGTAGAGAAGTCCCTTTAAACTGTAGATACTTTTGGACACCTGCACACCTAAAATGTCCTTCGTAGGCTGCAAGGGAAGAGAGGACCGGATTCTGGCTGGGTATTTGGACTCCATGGCAAATTGTTCTTGAAATGAAGTGTGCTATGCAATTAATGGTTTTCCCCTTCTCCTCACCGTTGCTTTGTGTATGAGGGAATCTTCTCTCTTGCTCCTGCTCCTATCCCCTTTTCCCAGCACTTTCCATCCCCCTTCCCTGACCCTCCAGGATCCCCCCCCCCTTTCTTCCCCTCTCTCTCTGGACTATGCAGCAAAGCTGTCTCACTCTCTGATTCTTTGCAGATCGACGTAATTAACACATTCCAGACGGGAGCCTCTTTTAAGGGAGTCCTAAAGCGACAGACCATGGGGCAGCACCTTGATGTTAAACATGTTCCTAGCTCATCCTATGTAACAGTTGCGCCAGTCACATCTCCCCCCACCACTTCTGTTCCTGCTGCTGTCTCATCTCCTACTCTGGGCAGTGAGTGAGAGTCTATTATGATGCATGATTTGCTAAAATGACCACAAGAGAGCACGTGGCATCCACTTTAACCAACCGTGGCATCCACTTTAACCAATCATGGTTATCTTTTCCTTTTGGTTTTTCCCTTTGACCTCTGACTTAAGGGAAGAAAAATGGGACAGAAATCCCAATCCCAAACCAGACTGTGTGCCCTTTTATTTTATTTTATTTTTTAATGTTGAAAAACTATTAAACCATAATCATTTTAAAGACAATAATCCTGTTTTCTGATCGTTCCTCTGCACTGCCTGTTTCTTCCTTGAGTTTTTTGTTTGTTTGGCTTTACTTTGAGTTGTTTGTTGGTTGGTTGGTTGGTTGGTTTTGCTTTGTTTGGATATGGTGGTGTTCCTCTCCTCTCTGGCTCCTTTGAGTCTAAACTCGATCTCCTGAGGTTAGAGGTGAGGTTGGGCCAATGAAAACCCAGCCCTCTCTTCATGGGAGGAAAGGGGGACAAGTTTCAGATCTCCTGAAAGAGAATATGAAGAGAGCTACCCTTCCCATGGGCTTTTCTACCAGGAGATCCCTCATCATTGAGCCGACGTTGAACTTGGCCGATAATAACGGTCCTTCTGGGCTACCGCCCTGTCGTGAGCTGCCCACATTGGTGTAGAAGCTGCAGCTGAGTGTGAAGAAAAGAAGGAGCTCAGTTCACTTGCACAGCGCTGAGTGTCCCCGAGGTTTCACTTTTCAGGGACGGCAAACCAAGCTCTGGTTTAAGAATCAATGTATTCAAATCTGGGCAGGAGAAATGTATATGCAAAGGTCCAAATAACTTAATTTTCTTCACTCCAGCTTTTTTCTTTCTAGGAATTTCTGAAGAGCAACTTTTGATTTGGTTTGGTTTTTTGCTTCCCCTTTCCTCTAGTTTGACTGTCTCACCCGTAGCCAGCCCTTCATGCCTTATTTTGCACGTGAAGTTTTAGGTGCCTCTTTCTCGGCCAGCCTATCAGCTGGAATGTTGTCAGTGTTTAACCTAAGATCTGGTGCTCCCACCAGTAGATGGTTGGATTCTTGCTAATGCTTACACCTTACAATTCCGGGTCATTTTACCTTCCCCAAATGGGACACAGAGAGGAGAGAAGGCTCTTTGCTGATAGTGCTATTAAGTTATTTGGTGGGAAAGAAGTCTCCTTGTATTAAGTCTGTCGTGAGCTTCAGATATTTGAGTATTTTATTTATCTCTTCTTCCCCCTATCCCCCCAAAACCCTGGAAGGGAGGGTGCAGTAAAGAAAGAACAGTTACACTGTCTGTGGTTCACATAATTGTGAGCTGTGCAGGTTAACCAGACTCAGATTATTTGTTGTCTTTGTGGCCAAATGTAAGTATTCTGGTGTGAGATATGAGGGGTGGGGTTTTCTATAGATACATATTTATTTAGGCCCTAAAGCAGTCAAAGAACTGAGTAAGTCTTACCCTGCGAAAATCTAAGAGCTTCTCCCTCTAGTCCTTCCATATTCCTTTCTTATTTCCTTTTTTCTTCTAGCTTTTCCCTGACCTTCTAACTAGTATCTGTTCTTTTTTAATCATGCCTTTCTGTGAGGAAGGGCTAGTGTCAGCTGTCCCAGTGATTTGAAGGTGGAAAGAGACTAAGCAGAAGACAGAACCCATCGGGTTCTTATGGAATTGCTCTTACGGAAGAGGGTAAGCTGCTGACCCTCAAAGGCAGAAATTGAGTCAGGAGATAGCCATACCCGCTGTCTCTCCAGCTGCTCCTTCTTACCCGGACGTCCTAGAAGAAATAGTCACGCATTTCAGGACCCCCGTCCCCATTCCAGATCTCCAAGTGAATTCAGTTATTTGTCTAACCTTCAGTAGCTAAATCTTTAAGATTTCCCTCTACAGGGAAACCCTTAATTCCTTCTCTTCCCCTGGTTTCTGAAAAGAGAACAGAAGACTATAGAATCTAGCTGAAGAAATGGAGTCTTCATCTGCCCATTCACTGAGCTCCAGAGAGTGGTCCTTAGCCCTCATACCTAATCGAAAGGTCCAGCCTGGTAAGGACTCCTGAGACACGAGAAAGGGCACTTCAATCAGCCACTTCTACGTGTAGGACAGAGGCCACAGAACAGCCATGTCCCAGAGGTTTTGAGGGACAGTAACTGGGGAAGGAAGGGCTGATTGGCTGAGTAGAGAATGCCTACAGCTTTCACAGTGGCCACTTCACTATCTCTGTCTTGTTCCCCGTACTCTGCTCACGCACCAGGCATCAGGGAAGGAGGAGGCCACCTTTGCTTGGGGTAGACTGGTGGTGATGTATCCGTGTGATTGGTCATCAGGATGTGTTATATATTCTCTGTTGGAGCTGAGGAGCATTCTGGCACAGCCCCAAGCCCTCCACCCCTCACCCTTCTCTCCCCCACCAGGCCACTAGAGGTGCCACCTAGTTCCCTGACTCCTCTTCCTTTGAGCTTCCCTTGCAGGATGCTGGTTTCCCTTTAGATTCTAGAAGCCCTGCAGTCTAGCCGGATGACTGTTCCTTGCTCCCCCAAAGAAGACATCTTCCCTATTGTTTCCCTCTACCCATTCCAATTCACTTTTATCTCCCTTATTGTTTGCCTGTAACATTGTTATTGATCACCCCAACAGGTGAGAGGAAAAGCCAGAAAACAGGGCTCCAGACCCTGACTCTAACCCCAGTTTTTAAAAATCTGTTTTCTCTATTGGACTTCACATATAATTATTTTCATTAAGTATTCAGTAGCTTCAAAAAAAAAAAATAGAACCAAGAAGTTTGAAAATCACTGATACTGAAGATAACCAACTGGTGGTATAAAAAGGTACCTCTTCTTCTGCAGCACTTGTTAAAAACTTGGAAATCTCAAGAGCAGGTGAAAAGTGTGGGCTATGTCATCCCTCCTACAGGGGTTGGTATGGCTTTGAACCCATCTCTTGACCAGGGAGAAGGCACTGGGTTTGGACTCACTTCATCCAAGGTGCCTTGCTCTCAGATTTGACGGAGATCAGTTAAAGTTTGGGGGCCTCTGCAAGACCAAATGGAGCCTCTGTTCCATCTGATCTCACCTAGGTCTGGAGCAAAGAGAACATGACAGGTAAAATTCACCCATCAGATTGTCAACAGCAATCATAGAAGGATGGAAACCTAGGTCCTTACCTTCTGTTCAGCGTGGCAAATGTGTGCCCAGGTTCCTTGCTTCTTCTTGGCTGAAGTGTGGAGCAGATTCTACTGAGCAGCAGAGAGTCCTTTGTCTTCTAAACTCTGGGCACCCTCAGTCCTGGGTGGGTCTGCCAGGCTGTTGTGGAGTGAGGCAAGATGAGGAAAGCCTTAGCCAGCGAAGACACAACTTCAGTGAATCCTCTTCGTGTGTTAGTCTTGAAGGGTCTACCCAGTGATAGCATTGCCCGACTCTTTGTGTCTCCTCTGTCTGCACATTCTTGCCTCTTCTCCAGGGACCTATTCTTTGCTGAAACAACAGAGACATGGAAGAGGGGCCCTAGGCCACCATTCAGCCTCCCCCCCTTGCCCCTCCTACCACAACCAGTCTCTCCTACAGTAGCCTCATTTCTTTCCTGAGGGAAGGATTTTTGGACAAGACTAGGATCAGCCACCTCCCCACCATCAAAACCGTCCTCCAGCCACTTTCCTCTCCCTTGGCCTCTGTCTCCACCGTCTCGGGATCCAACCTACTGCCCCGACCCCAATTCTGCCAACCCAGGTTCTAAACCATACTTCAGAGAGGCCTACCGTTCAGAAAAGCAGGCTGCCAAAAGAGCTGGGACCCATGGATAAGGCAAAGGCTGACCACAGGAGTCCGTTGTTGTTTAGTTTTTTCCTTTTCTCCCAACTGACTGACTCCCTTCCTTTTTTGTGCGGTAGAAAGAGACTTTGACGCTTACGGGGCAGTGCGTTTCCCTCTGCCCACTGAAGCCACATGGTGTTTCCATTCCTCCATCTTCTTCATCCGCCTCATCAGAAAAGCCACTTGTCTGTAGCACGGCCTCCAACCGGCTGGTTCCTCTCCTGGTCCCATCCCTTCCCTTCCCCACATGAGGTCATGCCCCCCATCACAATGTAGAAACAGCTGGAGAAAGCCACAGCTGGGGCGCAGGTGTTATGCACCAGAGGCATGGACATGCACTTGAACTGGGAGAGCCCCCTCTTCTCTCCATGGTCAGGAGGAAGGCATCTTCTCATACCCGTGCTTCAGCCCCATCTGCCAGGGGAGGGACGGAAGGAGCGGAGTTCCGCTTTCTGGGGCGGGCAGGGGACGTGGCAGAGGTTGTGGGATAGAAATATATGCATGTTTCCTGACTGAAAGAGCAATTATTCAACTGGAGAGTATAAGAGTTTTAATTTCTTGCATGCTGCTGACACAAATGAAGAGTGTTTTGTCTGCCTTGCTGCACGGTATCCGTAGCCACTTACCACCCGAAGTGTATTATGTATGGATTGGGATGAGTTTGACTCTTTAAGGGTTTTAAGCAGATAACTAAACTTCAATGTGTAATTTTTCCGTTCCACGTTCACAAAATGTTTGGCCTCAACACAGAAAGCCACATGTCTGAATCATCTTTTAAGTTTGGCTATTAATTTGCACCTGGTTCCTATGTTCTTGCCCTCATCCAAAAGAACTAATGAATCCTTGTTTTCTGTTTCATTTTAAGAATGGATTGTTTGGGAATGCTAACTTTGCTTTGGGTTTTCTACCTTTTTTTTTTTTTTTAATGCAGCTTTGAAATATTCAGTTGTTTGCCATTACTCACCCCACCCCACCCCCATGCTTGAAATTTGATGTTTCTGGTGTTCCATAATCTCTTCTTACGTGTTTGGTTTTGGTTGTTGCGCAGTAGTGTTTTGTAGTTGGAGTTTTGTTTCTCACCTCAAACCACCAGTTCTTTGTTCTACTGGTCCATTCTCACCTTCATGTTTTCTCCTCCTCCTTTTCCTTCCCCCCCGGTATAGATCAAAGTGGTCAAAGCGTTCCATAGTTCCCTCCATGAAAGCATTCAGAAACCCAAGAACCAAAACTCCATCCACAACTTCATGACCCACCCTGAATTCGCCATAGATGAGGAGGTGCCACGAACACCACTCCTGGATGAGCACGAGGAGGAAAATCTTGACAGTCCTAAGGCTGGGACTAGGGTGCTCCTGTTGGACGGTGAGGTCACGCCATACGCCAACAAAAACAACAATGCGGTGGACTGCAGCCAAGTGCAAATTGTTGCCTCCCACTCAGAGAGCCCTCTGCACAGCCTGGAGACATCTGTTTGAACTTCATTCTCTGACTCCCATCCCCGCTTTCTCCATGTCCTTTTTCATCTATCCCATCAGTAAGGTGACGATGGGACTTTTCACTGTCATGTCAGCTGCTCCCAAGTATGTGTGAACTCCCACCTGACCATGAAGAGGCAAGAGCAGAGACCTACGAGGATGTCGACTTAAACTTGAGCTGGGGTTTGTAGCAGGACCCAGTCAAACCCCAGGCAGGTAATGAATGGTAGGATCTACTCCTTGGGTGTATCAGTTGTCATTTTTAAAGAAATGATGACAATCCTCTTGGCATCTACCCCAACCCAGACCCTCCTTAGTATACATACGTTATGTCACCATCTCCTGACCTCTGGATTTTACCCTATGAGTCTGTGCCATTTATAAGCTAAGTCGAGGGTTCCGAGAGACAAATGTCCCCAAATGCAATGTGTTGAGGTAGGAATGGACTGTATAGAATCAGCCTATAGAGTGATTGTTTTTAAAATGACTTCCCCATTTTCAAAACTTACACCTAAAGCCCTCTAGCTCTTTCTGCCCTTCTAGTCAAACCTCCCTAAGGTTCTTTTGGTCTTTTGTGACCACTGTCTCCCTTATCTTCACTCTTTCTTGTTCTTTTTTCTTTTCTTTTTTTTTTTAAGTTGTGATGATTAAGAAAGTGGAATGGACATGGCTGAATTGAGTCAACTTTGGCCATTCCCCCTTCTGGCCCCAATGGAATCCTTGGCTTAGTCCTAGAGGCAGATAGGTTCTTTGCTAATGGGATCCTCTTGAAGCAATTGAGAGCTGGTAAGAATGTATTTCTGTTGTTGCCAGGTTACCTTCCCCTTCTGAACTGCTATCTTGTCAGGTGTGTGTCCTTTCTAAGTGCCAGGGAGATCAGCTTTGACCGTGAAGCTCGCATATGTTCGTTATATAGTTTTTCCCATAAGCCTGAGCTTTCTTCTATTGCTAAAGTGGTGGCAAAAGAATAGATTGGGAATGGCCCTGCCTCCTAACTGGACTGGGATATTAAGGACCAGCAGCTGGCAGGTCCACAACAAGACAGACCATCAAAGTCAACTCTTGTGCCATCCTCCCTGGGTTGACCACTCCTGCTTTCAAAGCCTTCTGCCACAGCTCTTCTGAGACAGGACCTGCTTGTTGCAGGAGTGCGTACTGAGAAGACTTGGGAGAGGCCATTCTAGCAGGTTCTGAGAAACCAGACACCTTGAGCTTAGGCGCCCAAGTACCAGCTTTGACATACCCCTCAGCTTTCTCATTCTGCTCTGTCGCGGCCCCTAACTCGTCTGGTCTCTCAATAGGCCCCAACCTTTCTCACATATTCCGCATTTGAAAATACCCATCCCAAGTGGGGTCCAGTGACATTTTGCTGACTTAAAGGAGCAAAAGACCCACCCTGGAAAGTTCTCCTTCCTCTCTTCCTTTGCTCCCACACGCCCCCCTCGAGGCCCTCTCCAGAATGTGCTCAACTGCTGCACACGAAAGCCCTGTGCCTTCCTTCCCTGAACGCTGCCCAGAGCATCCCCCACGCGCCTGCCTCTCAGGAGGTAGGGACCTCACTAGGAGATTTTTTTAAGTGTTCCTTAATGGGACAAGGTGGAGCCACGTTTGCAGGAGCTCCATTTTTATCCCTGCTGGTGTTGACGTAAGCTCTTCTGTGCAGGGGCTCGTTAACTCACGTCTACCAATTCCCATGAAAGAAATGAAGCCCGTTCCCCCTGTTTCAAGAGTGATGGCAGTGTGGGGTGGGGCTTGAGGCTCTTATGAACTGCCAGACTTCCACTTGTGAGCGCAAGGTGGCCGGAACCTATGCTCTCCGCCTTCTCTTCTCTTCGGGATCCCTCCTCCCTCCCCCCTTCCTCCTGAGCTGTCCGAGGTAGGAAGAGCAAAGACACAATACCCGCTCCACATCCCCACTGCTGCGCAACCCGCCAGATTTGACTTGGGTTTTGTAAAGGTCACATGCTTCAGCAATCTTTTCTCTGTCTTAAATCCTCATGTGGGAATAACAGCTCACCCAAGGTGTTAGGTGTGCACATATATATTTATTAAGTACATTGGAAGATTTCGTTCTGTCAAGTCTTTTATTACCTCAGATCAGCTTAAAAAACAAGCCAATAACAAACTTCGGAGGCTATTGCACCCTTCCTGCTCCCAAAAGACTCGTGGTGCCGGACAGGTTACTCTTGAGGGCTTGTGTCTACTTGTTTAAAGTCAATGGCTTTTGTGTATCTTTTAGTTTCCATGGTAGGAGAGAAAATAGAGAATATTATGCAAAAATATATAGTTTTCTTTAGCTCAGAAACGGATATTTTTGAGTCAGCCATATGTATTTTGTTTAAAGGATTTGAAATAAAGTGCTGTCATGTTACCCTGTGGAAGGAGCATATAACCAGCTGTTGGATGTGACAGGCGACTTAGCATATTTGTGACTGGTTATAAAACCAATGCACCGTACTTCCTTTCTCCAAACAGCCATCTTTATACTTAGGGAAAAAAAATGTATTGGGTTCTAGACTTTTTTAATATAAATTTTGTTGATATGGAATTGAGTAAGTTTCAGTGTTTATGTGCATATGTTTTTTATATAAGTTTTTTTCTATTCAGTTTTAGTGATCCAACTGGCAGTGAGTAAATATGGCGTAAGGTAATAAAGCTTTCCCCCCATATGGTGCTTTCGATCTGAAAAGGGTCTGATGGGGAGAAGGGGAAATAATTCTCCTAGAGAAACCTAGGAAAGTGGGCAGTGGCCTGTGGATGGGAAGGAAAGCAGCCAGCGAGAAGGGAGTGTGCGTCCCCCATGGAGATGGGTGCCAGGCCTTTTAGTAACTAGTGATCAGGGTCAAGGGCCTTGGCTGGATGTTGTTTTTTGATGAGTAGCTGGTATAGTGGTACCCAAGGCGTGAATATCTCTCGGGCTGCAAGGATGCTCTGATTGGGGCTTTGCATATTTTATGGTTCTTTCACGCATGTTTTATGGGTTCTTCACCCTGGGAGTTTTCCATTAGTGAGTTTTTGTGCAAAGCTCTGATTTGGGACTTGCCCTCTCCTAGAAAGGTTGTGTGCGATATATGAGATGGGGGAGAGAGTTCTAAGTGGAAGTCACAAAGGCCGGTTCTAACCCGGGGTGACCGCCTTGGGGCTAGGTCCTTCCCAGAGGTGCCCTCTGCCCTCTGAAATGACGACTCCCCCATCCCTAAAGGTGTCAGAGAGACCACCTCGCAGTCCTTCTGACACTTGTGGGTTCTGTAGGGTCTGGGTTTCTTCTTCCACTTGAGCTTCAGAGGGGAGAGTTCGCACAGTTCTATCTGAGCGATTACCTCACTGCCGAAAACCGAAAACCTGGCGGGGGTGGGGGCAAGTCCGCATGCAACCTCGAAATGCCTCACCTCCTTTCTCTCCTGCTTTCTTTGCCTCACGATCGATCGAAGCAGCCCGTGATACCATCACCAAGTGCACACTTCCTCACTCTCCATATCTAGGGACCACCTACTGCAGTGGTGGGGATGAGGCACTTGTAAATGCCTGCTATTCTGAAGCCATTCTAGCCTTTTCCTCAGAATAGACCAGATGCCCTTCCATGTAGCTCAGTGCCATGCTTTGCCTCCCAAGCCCTGCTGTCAGGCCTGCTGTCCCCTTTCCTCTTGATGAGGAGAGACGGAGGCAAGTGAGCTCCCCGTGACCGAACTGGCCTTTGGTTCGTGTTTGCTCCCCATCTGTATATAGGCCATCTGTGAACATGCCATGTATTATATGTGCCAACAAATCTATCTACGCTGTCCTTTTCAAATCAGCACGCAGATAGGAATTTTGAGTTTCTTTTTTTTTTTTTTTTTCAGTAACTAGAATAACAAGCACTGGTATTTTTGTATAAAAAAGAAAAACAAAACAAAAGATTGACTATTGTGGTCTGCATGACATAAACAAACATGGTGATATCCAAGCAATGTGTACCCCAGTGTGTGTGGCCATAATTTGCAGTCGGCTTAACGGTGCACCCAATCTGTATTTGCATTCTGATATTATTTAAGCTCTTTGTACAATGGTTTGCATGTATTTATATGGTTTGTAGGGAAAAAAAATGCTGTAAACTGGCAAATCTGAAATTCAAATACGTTGTCCACTGAGACGGGAAGAAGAGGAGTTTGAAAAGATGGGGAAAAAAGGGATAATTTTTTTTTTTGGAACCAATAAAGCTTGTTGCTGATGAGCAGAAACCAGACTGCCGTGCACTGAGAATAAAAACCCATGCCCACTATTACCTGTGCTGTCCTCAATGTGTCTCCACTCGTGGGTAATGTCACTGAGTGTCTGCTGGAGTTTGAGGAGGGACCCGCCACGCCGCATCGAGACCCCCATCCATGCCAGCCTGGAACTCAGCTTATCACTGGCCCCTGCCACGCTCCTCTGCCAACACAGCCCTCTGGCAACTCGCGGCCCCACCTGCCAGGTCCACGCGCTGGTGGGACAAGCTTTCCTCGGCTCGCTTCGGGCGGAACCCACAGTCGGGGCACAGTGAAGCCGGAGCTTTTGAGAAAGGATGAACTGGGAAGGATGAGAGCCAGAGTGGCAGTCATTTCTTATTCTCTTTGCCTTTTTTTTTTTTTTTTTTAATGAAATACATTCTGGAAAAATTCATTCCCCTGATATTAGCACCTTTTTTTCCTACCTTGCCTCTGGGGCTCTCCCCTTCTCCTTTCCCCAAGTTTTTGTTCTGTTCCGTTCTGTTAATTGTCCCATTCACCGAGTCTCTGGCAGGACTGATGAGGCCCCAGGTTTGGGCCAAAACCGCTTCCTGGCAGGTCATTTGGGTGCTGAGCTTTCGTATCTCAGAACTCAGAACTCCCTGCCCCTTTCATCCCGGTGCTCGATCAAGTTCCCTGCTCTCTCTGAACACATCAAAGGGAGGAAAGGACTTTGTGGGCTCCCCCTGGTCTGTTAGGAAAAGTATGATGGAGAAGGACAGCCCAAACTCTGCCGGCTGTTTGAACAGGCTGCTTCTGAAGGTGGAGCCGGCCCTGGAGGAAAAAGCTTCTGGAGTATGAAGTCTCATCCCCACGTCTCCTGCCTGCCCCAGCTCACACTCCATGGGCACAAGCACACTGCCTACTTCATTTCTTTAAAACTTGGGCTAGGGCAGAAAAAATGAATAATTCATAATGGGGCTGGGTCTTGCTTGATAACAGAAGTCATTTGCAAAACAGAACTAGTCTTTCTCCCATTATAGTTTCCCTCCCAATTACCCTTGCTAGAATGGGATGCAAAGCACACAGGCACACGCACGCAGACACACACACACACACACACACACACAGCTAGAGTCCTTTCTAAAGTTTGGCCCTGAATTGCCCCTTACTCTCGCCTTGTCTTGGTTGGACCTAAGATCTGTACCTCTCTATGAGGCCAGCCTGGATCTTAAGCATCTACACCGCCTGACTCCAGTGTGCAGTAAGGTGTGGAGGATGAGCTTCAAAGTAGCTCTCTGACTGCGACCAGTGGATCCTCAGGTATTGCTTTAATGGCGTCTAAAACCAGCTCAGCTCCTTGGCCTGAGTGACAATACAGAAAAGTGCATGCTCTTTGTTCCATCTTTTTCCCCAGCCCCAGTTCTAGAAAAGCATAATTGCTCTGCCTTCCTTCTTTAATAATGGTTTGCAAACCTTTTTCAGCCACCATATCCTCTCCCTGTGGTCACTGGGTTTGTTTGAAGCTCTTCACCAAGACTCGCTGGTTCCCTCCCAAGTACACACAGCCAGGCAACTCCCTGCTGACTTAATCTGTGGCACATCCAAAGATTAGCCATTGGGTACCCATGAACTAGTTACCAGCCCCTGACCTGGGTCTCTCAGGACATGGCCTTCATGTCACTGCAAGCATGAAGGAAGGTAGAAGTGGCATGTCCTTTACTGGCAAATACTTTGGAAACCCTGTTGTAAATAAAACATGTAAACATGTTACCATGTTGGTGGTGTCATGAACATTCAGTTGTCCCCAACATGAACCTAAGCCATGAGCGATAACAAGCTGCTGGATCCATAGACTGTCCTACTTTCAGCCTTGAAAGGGAGTGGCTTCAGGTTCTGGGCTTGGCCATATCCTGACGTGGAACTAATCATATGTCTTCACTTCTCTGGAACTTATGTCAAAGAATACTTCCCTGTCCTCAGAAAACACACACATGGAAGGGAGCAGTCTCTTTGGAATGGCCTCCCTCTGCCATCTCCTCAGAAGCCAGTGTCAAAACAAGAATGCCACTTCACCCTGACAATGAGACCCACCTATGAGAAAAGCCACGTTACCATCAGAAGCTTGGCTTCTGCTCACGAGGTCTGAGCAAGGGGGGGTGACCTGAACCATCTGGGCAGCCAGAGCCTTCACGCTCTGAGCCGGGTACCTCCGTCTCTGCTCTTGGATAGACCTGGTCCCTGCATTCAGGCTCAGCCACCACTCGGTTTCTCCCATGTCCCCTGTAATAGAGGCCACCTGGACCATCCTCCACATGCAGCACCACTGGTTAGCTTACAGGGTTTTTTACATCGTACTGGACCCAGGAACACTATGTTGAAGGACTGTGATGTGTGTTTTAGAATTCCAGATCCCCCTGGCTTGGCCTTACTGAAGGTAAGTACATGTGAAAACTTACTTGAGGGACGCCTGGGTGGCTCAGTCGGTTAAGCGTCTGCCTTCGGCTCAGGTCATGATTCCGGGGTCCTGGGATCGAGCCCCGCATCGGGCTCCCTGCTCGGTGGGAAGCCTGCTTCTCCCTCTTCCTCTGCCTGCCGCTCCCCCTGCTTGTGCTATCTCTCTCACAAATAAATAAATAAAATCTTGAAAGAAAAAAAAAAAACTTACTTGAAAGAGGAAATGAAGCTGAGGACATCAGGGCCAGGGACTAGCAATGGCCTTCAGCACCCGTAAGAGGGAGAACAAATACACCCGTGGTAATTCAGAACCCTTCATGTGAGTCAAGAATCCCCACATCTTCCCCACCTAACCTTAGGAACTGAAACTGCTGCCGATCAAGTAGGAGAGAGAAGGGGTTCAAATCTTTGCTGCTCACCCCGTGGTGGAGGATCTAAAACAGAGATGTTGGGGAGGTGGAATAAGATCATGAAGTGTGGCCGCCCAGGAGGCAGGAAACCCTCATCCCTAACCGTGCCTCTTGAGTGGCTTGATTTTCCATCTAGACAAGGAGACAGTTGAAGTACATCAATGATTTTCAGATTACACTTTGAAGATCCGAAAGGGATTCCTTAGAGATGATTCAGAGCCCACAGGTGTTCAACAAAAGTAGCTTTAGAAAAAAAAAAATGTATTTGGTTTGTAGGTCAGCGGTAGCATTGAAAAAAATGCCTTAAAGGTGAACTCGTCCTCTGAGGTGACACCATAACAGCAAGAGTTGTGTGATTAAATACACAAGCAAGCCTAACTTGGATCCTGTCTTGGTGGTTTCCCGTTATAATTACCAATGTAAGCACAAACACAACAGAGTAAAACTTAGTAATTGTAGTCCATCCATCCTGCTAAGATTGTTATCTAGCTGATTCACCTTCGGAATTTGTTGTGAAAAGAGCAGAGGTCTGAAGATCCAGAGATCTCGCCCAGTGGGATGGCATAAAATTACAGAGCAGAAGCAAGCTGGCTCCTTTAAGCTATGGCGGAGAGCGCTGGCCTGGGAATTGGATGGCCTAGGTTATAACCCTGACCCTGCTACCAAGGGTCTCCCCAACTCTGACACTCTTTCCATTCTCAGCCTAGTGTCTAAAATTGCTGTTAATAACCACTGGAGAATGCCCAAGTGGCAGTTTTCTTTCATCGCTTTATCTCCCCTGGAATGTAGCATTATCGTGTGTGCTTTGGACAAGAGCACATACCGGGACGTGCGCGGGCAGGCTCAGCCACTTATACCTGCAACAAAGACAAATTGCTCCACAGCCCTTAGAGAACAAGAAATCTGTTTCTTCTCTAAATCTAACAAAATCTAACCCCAAACTAGCTAGCACTCACCAAGATCTGCAAGAGGCCTCTCTCCATTGTTTGTTATGTTCCCATCGCCTCCCCTTGGGTATTGGTCCACTCATCACTCAACAAGCATGTGCTGGGCCAAGCACTGTCGTAGGCATCGGGGATGTGGCAGGGAATGAAACAAAGTCCGTGCCCTCTTTGAATTGAGTCTCATGGAAGAGAGACAAAGAAGTAAATACGTAGCATGTCAAATGGTCACAAGGACCAGGGAGAAAGGTAAAGTGTAAGGGAAATAGGGAGCATGGGGCATGAGGGTTGCTCTTTTGTGGTTTTTTTGTTGTTGTTTTTTTTTTAAGATTTTATTTATTTATTTGACAGAGAGAGACACAGCGAGAGAGGGAACACAAGCAGGGGGAGGGGGAGAGGGAGAAGCAGGCTCCCCGCAGAGCAGGGAGCCCGATGTGGGACTCGATCCCGGGACTCCAGGATCATGACCTGAGCCGAAGGCAGTCGCTTAACCAACTGAGCCACCCAGGCGCCCATGGGGGGTTACTCTTTTGTTGATTTTATTTATTCTGGAGGGGGGGGGAATCCCAAGCAGACTCACCGCGGAGCACGGAGCTCGACTCAGGGTTCGATCCCAGGACCCTTGAGATCATGACCTGAGCTGAAACCAAGAGTCGGACGCTCAACCAACTGAGCCACCCGGGCGCCCCAAGAGTTGCTCTTTTGTAGAGAAGATCTCTGATGAACAGACGTTTGTGAAGATATGTGAAGAGAGTCAGAGAGTGAGCTAGGTAAATATGTGGAGGAAAGAGATTCCAGGCAAAGGGCCCAGCAAGTGCAAAGGTCCTGACGCAGGAGACCTCGGTGTGTTTGAGGACATACAGGGAAGACAGGAGTCGGAACTGAGTGACTAAGTGGGGAAGTGCAGGCACGGAGCTGGGAGCCGGGCAGAGCCTGCAAGCCATTGTAAGGCTGGCTTTCATGAAGTGGGAAACCACGGGAAGGTGTTCACTGAGGACTGCAGTGATCTGTCTTAACAGTGGAGGGCCTATCGCGTGGCTGCCATCTCAGGGAAAACGGAAGGACGACGTAGATTGGACGAGCACGTGTCCCATGCACATGTGGGCCCACCTTAAACCTGAAGGACACAGGTAAATCCGAGCCCTCTGTCATGCTGGTGTCCTATGACACACAGAACAGTGAAAAGAAAACGCATGTTCCAAGAAAAGTTCAGATCTATTGCTTGCCACCCGAGCTCAGTAACGCCCAGGTTAATGAAGTGATCGA